ACGAGTACACCCCACGTCGGCTTTCCGCACTCGCACGATTGACGCATCCGCACAACCTCGACGCTCAAGCGCGTCGGCTTCCCCTCGGCGCGCTCAGAGGATCTCTGCGATCGCTTTCGAAAGCTTTGCGTGATTATCTGCGCGCGTAATTTAGATGCACGATGACCCGGTCGTCACCTTCACTGCACGACAAGGACACCAATCAAGGCTCCTGTCATCGTCGATTTATTAAGATTTCTCGGGGTTGGGTTCTGATCTTCGTCCTCTTCGTCGCGCGTTTCGCGGAATTCTTTCTCTCTCGACCTGCAGTTAAATAATCATTGCCGCAAGTCACGCGCTGCGATTTTTCTTCCATCGCTGTCCATCTGTCCTGTCACTGTAATTTCTCTTCTTACATGCACAGACTTCTACAAGTAAACGCATCAAGTTCGCGCTTTGTTTCCTGCCCTGACCTTACCGCGCTGACAACGGCTGCGTGTTTTGTTGCGGAAAATTTTCGATGAAAATTATCCGATCGCACTGCCGCGATCGCGCTGGTCTACGAGTAAATAACGGAATTTTCGAACGAATTTTTATAGATTGCTTTTTACTCTCTGACTTGAAATTCGCGTTTTCTTGCCGTGGAACGATACTGCTGGATGGTGTTTTTTTTTATTCTGCCCGCTGCATGGAGTATTACATGACATCTGACTTTTAACGGAGGCTCGCAGCTGTCTCTGCATCGCCGTTCGCAATTATACGTGTAATTGACTAATGGGGATCGTCGTAGTTATACACGAGATGCGCCGTGAGAGATTATACGCAAATATTATACGCAAATAATCAAATTGTTACCAAGCATTGAGCAATCATAACGATAGCTTGCTTTTCCTTCTCTCTGCACGACATACTTTTGCGATCAAAATAAACTGTGCAACGCCAGATGTTTGACCAATCAAACCGCGAGAGGCTTTACAACGTAAAACCACCCGTAGAAGGCTGCTTTGAATTTTAACAGCTCTCTTTCTCTCTCTCTCTCTCTTCTTTGTCCTGCGAGCTTTTTTCAAAGCTTTTTATCACTTTGGAATAGTTTGAAGACCCCCAAGATTACAACGCGCAGAGTATCGTTCTCGAGCCGCTCGCGCGTAGAAAAGTCAATTTTGGGCTGTATCAAAGACGCGTACATTCTGATTTTGCCGTATAGAGAGGATGGATCTCGCATGGATCTAGCGGAGCGTGTACGTCGATGACCCCGCGGCTTTCAAAGTAGCGCGATGGATTCTTCAGACGCGCACGGACGCACGATCGTTATAATAACGCTAATTGACCACTGATACGCCGAGGAAACGAAAGCGAAAGTCTACGACAATGATTATTTATTGACCCGATGACAGCTTATGCAAAATGTCGTCTATCTACTGCTTTTTCTCTCACATTTTTTTTTTTGCATTATATGAATCATTGATGCCAGACATTTTGTTGTTGTGGGATGACTCAGATGGAAATTAAAAAATGAAATTGTTAGATACTGTACTTTTCTATTTTACTTTTTTTTTGTAACATGCACGTGTTCATGAGATTATGTAAAAAATTTGTATTTATAATTTTATATTTCGATGATTTAACAAAGCTCCTTACATATCGTGATATTAAATATAAAAATGAAAAGTTAATTCCAAAGTAATGGTGGTTAATAACGATTTATAAAAAATGAGTTATCGCCACTGTAATGTTCCTTTGAATAAACAACACAGTCCTGCAAGGACTTGTTTTGAAAAAGAAAAAGTCATTTCCGAAGTAATTTTTGCTGTAAAATCTGGATCCGGCCTCATATTTGCTATATCGTGTCAGATTTTTAAGATATCTTAACCGAAAAGTAAAAACAAAAATACATATTTTTGCTATATGTGGACCTCTATAACTATGCGAAAAAAATTTTTTTGAAAAATCGATAAGTACATTTGAAAGAGCTACACTTTAACTTCGAAACACACTACCGACATACTTCAATACTATTTTTTTGGCATAATATGACGAATCAAACTATAAAAAATGTCAGTATTCGTAGATTCCACTTTTAGTATAGCAAAAGTTTGTGTCTGTATTTAAACAATAAAATGAATTGTTATTCCCTTTGTTTCTACAAATAAAAGCAGTAAAACACGTAAAAGATTTAATGTGTAATGTGAGAATAAAATTTGTAGATCTGAACCCAACTTTATTGGACTTTAAAATTAGATGGAGATATTTTCACCTTCCCATGTCACGATCATAGAAAATGTTTAGGACCTACATCACTTTTGATTTATCAGTGAGATAATGTACAAGCAAAATTTAGTGTTTTATTGAGTAGTGTTATATAGATAATATTTCTAATCACTTATTGTCTAAAACTATTTTAGTCGAGAAAAAAAGAGTAAAAAGTCGAGAGAAGAGAGTAAAGAATACTTAGATATTGTTTATAGCTCATTTTTAACAAATGGTCGTTTTACACCTTATATTGGTGCTATTACTGCAGAAACAAATCAAAGACATCTCATGCAAAGGTTTTAATAAATTTAACTCTAATGTCATATGCCATTAGAATGAATGGTTTAAATTTGGCAGATCTTGTAACTAAACTACAAAATGAGAAGTCACATGTTCTTAATTTAAATATAAATATTGATGATGAAAATAAGTTGTGCCCAAAATCATGAGAATATATTGCATAGATTAAGATCATAATTAGAAAAGAAAGGTTCAGCTATAAATTATTTATCTACTGTAACGTCTCATGTTAAATTTGATATTAATCTTCTTAGCAATTTTCTAAAAATAAGTGATGACTGTTAAATTCATTTCCACTTGATATTTGTAAGTTTAATGGGCTTCATAATAAACCTTAAAAAAAGTGAATTAAGTAGATACTGTAACTATTGCAATAACTGTAAAATGTGATGGGCGTACAGAAAAATTAATATACATAATGATTGATATGATCCTGTTAATTATAATAGCGCATCATTATCTATTATTGCTAAGATTATCATATGAAATTTTTATTTACAGAGAATGAAATTTCGGTTTTAAAAACATTTTACACACGTTTAAACAAACGGTTAACAAGCGTATGGATGTTTTAGGCCATAAACATTTTCATTAAAAAAATATTTTTAATACATTTCAAAAGCGGCTTCAAAACGTTAGCTCACTCTGAAAATTTATTAAATACGTGGACACATCTCGCGCTTTAATAACACTTAAAAAATGAAGTTTTCAACAAAATATGTAAACATTTAAGTTTTCTAAAAAAACGTTTCTTAAATGATTTTGTATTTTTTAGGTAAGATAATAAATAACAAATAATAACGACGTTAGAACGAAAAAATAGTAGAAATATTTAGCATGGAAGTTTATTAATGTTATACAAAGGAGTTGTTGATAATAAACGTTAGTCGGCGGGACAGTATAACATCTGAAAGGGTCACAAATTAAAGCAGTGAACCGTCGCGTTTCAGCAGCCAATTAATGACAAGCTACGAGCCATTACCAAACAAAACTTGACCTCTCGCACTCAAGAACATTACAAAAGCATACCTTCGAGCGCGTGCAAAATGTGTGTTATTTTCCGATTCAGATGAGAATGTTTTGCAGTGAGCGAAATAAAAAAAAAATGTACACGTATATTGATTAAGTGAAAAAGTGCAGTACACGAGTATTTCACGTTTTATCATCGAGTTAGTCAATGAACGAGGTGAAACTGTTAAAATAATTGTCATTATTTTACCTATTAGTAGGCAACTAAACAAAATGATTATACGACTCTTTTAAGTAAGGGAACTTGCAGTTCATTTTTTCAATGAACACATACGCAAACCACTTACTGTCAATCATATATCCATATATGTCAGTAACGAAAGTATCTAAATATCCTTGAGTTCCCCTCCGCTCACCTACTTACACACACGTATATATTGTCCGTTATTAATATTCGGATCAAGTAGTATAATAAAAGTATGAAATCAAAACAAAAACGACCTCGAGACAATTGTTGCAAGCTCTTTCTTTCGCATTCTAAAGCTTTTACGCAAAATCTGTCGAAATCAATGTTTATTATTGCTTTGGATTTTTTACTACTGCTGATAAACGTATAAAATGTATAAACAAACTCCAAAAAAGTGCGAGTAGGGGAGCTATTTCCATCGATACCGCCACAAAGATAGTTGAACGCGCACGTGTATGTCTGCGTGTGTGTGCTTTAATGAGTGTTACCACTTCTTAAAAAGGTATATCCGTGCTGGCTTGAGTAATCGTAAGCTTCCTTGCATTTCAAATAAAATGGACAAATACACAATCGTGTGCACAGATGGAATTTTTCTACTTTAGGTATATCATATTTCGCCTTGCTAATCATCATTCTTCATAAAAAGTGGAGTGTCAAGCTCTAATGTAACGCAGCTATATTATATGCTGATTTACTCGACAGTGTATCTTCACCGAAAAAGTTTGTCGAAGTTTCCCTTCGTTTAAACAATTGACGTCGCTCATCATCGTTTTATATAGTTTTTATCTTCCGATCTATTAACGCCTGACTGATTTTTTATTCTTTTCTAGGAAGGCACCCGCATGCGACACTCGTGTACATCCGTCTATAATACAAACACGTTTTCATCATCCCACATCAGGCCACGCTGAACGCGCATGCGCCTTCCGACTCTTGCTTGTAAAAGCTTCGGTTGGTTTACTCTCCCGCGTGTATATACAAAACGGCGATTTATGACATATATATGCTATCAGAGTGCAGGCTGAGAGAAATCTTGCGTATGGAAGACAATCGTTATCGATTGCGCACCTAGCGAATCGTCTCTTTGGCTAACAACCAATGAATCGATTGTCTTGTCTTTAGTGTCAAGGGCTAATGTCATCGTATATGGTAAAAAGAGAAACTAAAGCGATCGAGAGAGCGCATACAAGAAAAAAAAACAAAAAATGGAGCAGACACGTCTCCCTTATCTGTACATATGTATTAGGTCTTTTACCTGTTATTCTCAGCTGCGGTGGAGTTACCGTTATTTATCTCTGTGCTGTAACCCACGATCGACATCTTTAAAGTTTGATTTGTACAATACACTACGGGAACACTGCCTGCCAACGGTGAAACAATATGTACGTTATGTGTATGTATTACTGACTTGTGACTGATAGAGATAACTCGTTTGCACGCGACTCTCAACTGCAGATGACTAAACGCACTTGCTCTTGTTAATTTTGAGTATAGCTGACCGCGCTCTCTCTCTCACACGCTCTCTCTTTCTTTCTTTCGCTTCTGCACCGTCGCGCCGTAAGATTCCATGGGACGGGAAGGGGAAGTACGGTTTAAGAAAATGTGAAGCAGCATTATGCTTACGACGAAGCGTCGTATTATACCGAACGAAAGTTGATCGACCTTATACGCACTAATGTGTGGGGTTGAGTTGTATATATTTGAGAAACGGAAGATTCTTCAGCCTACTCACTAAGGGCTTATACTTTTTTCAATCGTTCAAAATTTGGTTTCCGCGTGTTTCGTGTATGTAATATATTTCTTTGCCCAAATGGAATTAAAATTAACAATTAATGTAAAATAATCTAAGTAGCAGTTTTCAATTGTGTTGTCGATTGTTTGCTCTACGTGTATATCGTTACTGGACTAATATTTTAATATTGCATTATTATTTCGTTTTTTTACTTCTAGTTTAAGAATACAAAAGATTAATTTTTGTTTTGGCATACAAAACTGAAACCACTTACTTCATAATTTTGTTATTTTATTACCACCTTGAATTACCATATAGTTTATAATGCCATTCGCCGTTAAAGCGTTGATAACATGGTTTATTTTTTGAAAAAAAAAATATTAAGACAATCTGATATTTCTAGCACATTCATTTACGAATTAGAAAGAAGAAACAATTTTTATGCAAAATATTGAAAAATTGTCGAAATTAAAAAAAACCAAATACGTGAAATTTGTTCTTTGATCTCGGTCACGCTCGTGATTATTCGAATACATACTTGACTTTTGAAATTTAAATATATATTATATTACTCTTTCAAGCAGTTCGTTTGCGAAATATTTCCATAATAAGGAATGATAAAATTCTTTTACCTATATCCTTTCGAACAAATTTAGTTAAAAATAAAAAAAAAACCAACGTTTCAGTAATATTTGCGAGTCACCCTTACAAAGGTTAAAGACAAACATACAACTTTGTACAATATTGGGCAAAATTATAACGTGAAAATATATCGAAACGTAAACAACAATATGTAAATCTTACCTATTAAAAAAATAAATTAAATTATTTGACTAACTGAAAATTATTTTATTTATATAGCTCACAGGTATCAGAGATATCAAACAGACAATGATTAATTCTAAAGTTAAATAAATCAATTATGACAATGTATTAACTATTACTTTACTTGGTCAAGAGCAGACCAAGAGAGTCTAGGGCAGAACAGGAAGTATTTTTATGAAAAAAAAAGTGAGAAAAGGGACAAACTAAAGAAAGTTGAGAGATATAAACTACTTGGAAGAAATTGAGAAAGATCCAAAAGTGCCAATCAAACGGTAAACCGGGTTAACGTGACTGTGCAAAAGAATTTATTCGATTAACCTTCACTTTTTATTTTATGTTTATACTTATATAAAAGCTATGTCAAATATGAGTACACGTCATTATTATTTACAGCTTAGAAATAAAACACAGATTTACTTATAAAATATTGATAGATGCCATGTTGAAGCTTTTTATTCACGATATATGTAATTGGCTGAGATATGATTAAGTGATGTGAATGCGTAAGATTGAAACAATGTTGTAATGTTGCGATCTTTATTCAAAGAGTAGGGTAAACATTTAATAGTAATTTGAGTCGTATAGTTGAAAAGAACTAAAAGATTATTTATAGTAGTTTTTGATATGATAAATCATGAATTCGTAATACGTGGAACTGTTTTCGTAATGCACATTTTTCCGCTGTGATATGTGATTGGTAAAATATTGAAAAATTCACTTTTAAAAAAAGCAACTTATGTTAAATATTTTAATCGATATGACAAAAAATGAAAAATAAGATAAAAACGCGCAGTGCGTGTCTGACGTCATTGGTATAATGAAATTTAGATGATAATTGCTGTGTGAAAACTCTTCTGGACATTTGAACATTTGATTGAAGTATAAATATATGCATGCGTTTCGGGTATGTCGCATTACTCGTCATTAAAAGCATGTTGTATTTTTACACACACACACTAAAGCAATAGAAATGCTCGCTAACGCGTTGGCATATGGTTGCACAGAAATTTCATTGTTAAAATTGAAATTGAACAAAGTCAACATTTTGTTTTCCACGGAACATTTCCATAAAATTTTATCCATCAAATAAAATCCATCTGCATAAAATTCTATTCTCTATAGAAATGTTTTTGCGTATTATGCAATCACATACGGACGACAAACCTAAAAAATGTTTCAATGAGTGCATTAAAGGTGTTCATAAAGAAACGTCAAACGCATCACGTTAAAGCCCAATGCTGGTCGAGAAAATTCTTCAACCAAGTTGCACGACAAAAAAGAAATTATGAACACAGCAGCAAATGGAGCAAAAAGAGCGACGTAAGCTTACGCAGGTAAAATACTATTCAAGAGCGAGAGAAGATCACGAACCGCGAGCGAATACACGGAACTGGAGAACGTCGTCCATCTTTCACACCGTGCATCATAAAATTCGACTCTAGGTACTCATATGAAGATGAAAAAAAGCGCAACACGAGACTGTATTATGCACGTTGAGAGAGCTCTCTGACCTCGATGGATATTAACATATTTTGCCAAAGATTTGTCTACATTTACATTTTTTATGTATTCTGTAAAAAAAAACTTGTCTTTTTTTTTAAATAAAAAGAGAATTTCACTATTCAGAGCAGACTAATATTGAGGCAAGGCAACCAAAAAAATATTGAATCAGGAGTCGCTAAAATAACATTAAAGTTTCTTACAAAGAAGTTTATTTCTATAAATAACATTAAATTTCCCCAAATAACATTAAAGTTCGCGTTCAATCAAATCACTTCATGGAATTTAGATACGTTCAAACAACAATTCGCTGATCTTATTTAATCTGGCTTACGTGCACAAATTGTTGAGGCTGCCTAGCTGCCGATGCTAGACTTTTCTCAACCGTTGTGAGATCAGGATAAGTGGGCGACGGTGCAATAAATCGAAACGATAAAGCAATAGATCCATCAGATCGTTTAGCCCATCGCTTGAAGATAATAGAAACTTGCTCGCCACTGGTTGACTCTTCAATCGGGAAGATATGTCGCAGTGATTGCTAGTCTCGCCTCGATCTCTTGTGTTTCACGCACAGATTTGGGAACCGAGAAGATGAGTTCTGCACGGCAGCCGTAAAAAGGCTCATTTACATGTCTCAGACTTCGTATCGCGCAAACACTAAACCTCGATTTCAGTCTATCGGTTACAATTCTATATATTCTATATTTATCGAATATATACTGAGTGCGCGGGTGATGATCTCTATGAGTATCGATCGACGATATTACAAGATATTATTGTAAGTGTACGTGGAAGCGTATGTATTATGTAGATGCTGAGTGGAAGAGCGATGCGTGTTCACAACCTTCGCTCATTGCTACGTAAAAATTCAATTCATTGCTATCGAGTTTTCTGTTTAGAGCCCATGGCGCTGCATTTTGCAGCTGTGAGTGTTCGCGTATCGATAATTACGATGAAAGTCCGTGGCTCTTTGACGGTGCAATCTCGATGAATTATTGATTAATGTAACATTTAATTATGTTTGTAGATATCTGTGGAAATGTAAAATCCAGTGTATTCGCTTCTACAGTGAAATCGCTAATAGTACGATAGGGGGGGGGCTTCATGGAAAACAGATAATTCAAGAAAATTGTGAAATGACTAATGCTAAGCATCTACATTAAAGTTCAATGTCAGACAGGAGCGATAACATAACAACGCCATTTGCCGTAATGACTTACAATATCGAGGAGAAAAACAATCTCGTTCCGGTGTATATTAAAGAAACACAATGACAACAAGTAAAAATCACTTGAGCATTATAATAGTGACGTCTGAAGTCACGTTATTCGGATTACAATTATTATATGTTGCGATTTTGTTGTTGTTTCGTGGCGCTTTGTAAGTAAAGTTAAAAATGGCAAAACAGCTCGGACGAATGGGAAAGCAGACAATTATTAAACATACATTATCTACGAAATCCAATTAACTATTTTTATATCGTTGCACAAAATGAAAATGTGCGTATCATCCATGAAACTTAAAATTGACCTTTGCGCAACGCGACACGGTAGCGTGTTTTGAGTGTCTATTTTAATAAATTTGAATCGACGTCTCATCGCAACTAATTAAGAAGAATTATTGTATCAGCCTGAAAGCGCAGCTGATATTCATAAAGTGTACACGTGGTACATGATCATTTCAGTGTAAACAGTATTTATAAAATCGATCTAAAAATTTTAATATTGGTGCTTCTCCATTTCAACAGAGTGAGATATAATACAGTAAATGATAGTAGATTATACGGTTATATTTCTGAAAATACTGGAAGAGAATAATTAAATTTACTATTTTCATAAATTGTTAAAACATAATGATTAATACTATATTTTTTATTTTCGTTAACAGATTCTTTTTCTATTCACCAACAATAATTTGCTCATATTAAAACAGTTCAAAATTATAATAATTTATAGATTTTTTTATTATAACTGAAACTATATTTTTGTTATCAAAATAAACTATTTACTTGTGGTTGGTTCGATTTCCCGTTGTATTATATAGTGAATAGCGGTCATTATATTTTTTTTCGAATGTAAGGTTTTATTGATATAGAGTTCGTGTTCGACATTAAGAACTTGAATACTTTTTCCGCATTCCCTAACTAATGCGAAAAGGCTTTTTGACGAAACTCGCTACAGCACTTGCTTCTGGCTCGTGCCGTAAATTTCTCATTTCGTCAAATAGACCTTTGCGCAGCCGTTAGGAAATGTACTATCAGCTACTTGTTAGCGAAGATGCTATTGAAAGTCCTATCGGGTTCCCTTGATTTCTTATCATGCAATGAAATTTCTTAAGATGCATAAAATTATCCTCTCGTTCTTCTCAAATGAAGCAATCCTGCAAAGCATTGCGAGTTAACTTTCGATGAAAGGTGAACTACTCGAATACATGTGTACATCTGAATTTATAAGCTATATATTGCAGTTTAATAGCCATATATCTATTGGAATTAAGAAGAAACCGGAAAAATATGTAGGTTTCCGTTGAATCTTCTATTCTTTCATTGCCGACATTAAAAAGAAAGTAGGTACTGTATTCGATTTGGATTATTATTATTTTATTTTATATATTTATGTATGTACGTATCTTTGGAACAGTTGAATCGATTTAAATGGGGAACAGGCTCATTTAGAAAGGGCAAGCTAACGAGATGGTTTCGTTTCGTTATTGACATCGAAGTATAAGTTTGTGACTATTTGCAAAAAAATGAATTTAAAGTAGGTTTCTGCCTTAATCACCTTAAGCACGTTAATGACACTTGGTTGTGACGTTTAATGCAAGCAGTCGAGTAGTTCACCTGCATCGCACTCGCGTGAGTCAGAAATCAAATCGCACCACAATGATGATGGCCGCCGTAGGCCAAACTGACAATGCGCTATAGAGGTGGTACGTAGGTGCGTCATTCCTTTCTCGCGCTCAATATTTTCATCTTAAGTGACTTCGTCGATAGTATAATCAATATTTATGATTCTAAGTAAATTAAATTCATTGTTGAAACTTTGTTGAGCTGGTCCCAAAAACACCGGTTGCGCGTTTTTAAAATCGACAACACAATTTTAACCATAATTTACTATTCTCGATAAAACGTTCATATATTTTTTAATTTAGTACTACGCGACGATAGGAAATAATTGTCATTGCTAAAAAGAGCAAAGAAACAAATTAAGCCGCCAGCAAAGCTTTAATGAAATATATTCATCATTATTTTTAAAGATTAACCGTTTTTATTGTCAGAGAATAACAAGGAAGAAAAATATATCAAAAGCAGCTTTTAGTGTAATTAACAAACACGATAATTTAACTGTCATAAAATTTCTTATAAATATAATATCATATATAAGCGTTATTTTTTACTTTAAATATAATTGCTTGAGAGAGTAATTTTTTACGATTATTTTGACATTTACATCTATAATATCACTGTCAGCCGAAATTGCTACTTTCCCTTTACTGAATAAACCAAAGAACGGTCGCAGGTGAGTTGTCAGTCAGAACAAATTACTTTAAACTTTCATAAATTATGTATCATAATCGCTATTCGAGTATAACGTTTATAAATATCTAGAACGATTGAAAACCATATCAAGAGGCAAATGGTGATTTATAAAAAAAAGGCTTCGAAAATTCATATTTTTTAGATATTTTTATTGGACACACACCCACACACACACACACACATACACACACACACACACACACACATAAAAGTGATAGGTATCTTCCAATAATTAAAAACTTCCGGATCTACAAAGAATAAACATGAAAGTAGAGTTGTCGATTTTGTCATAGCAAAGACGAGACTACTTTATAAGATCACGACATATATTTTAGCAACTAAAATATTTTTCGTCATATTTTTATATATACTTTGAACCTACAAAATTGCAGTAAGAACCGAGAATGACACCTGTAAAGGTTCCCTTGTCAGACGAATGATACCATATTTTTGCGCTTGGACGCTATTTGTATGCCAAAAAAAAACTATCCATTAGTATTTACGGGACATGTATTAATTGAAAATTCATGTGAACAAAATGTAATGTAATAAATTGACAAGAGATAATTATTTACAATTCGGCGAATAACTAAATATTGATCAGGTATTCCCACTGACATGGTAATAGAATTTTTAATGCAAAGTACGAAAACGATGGAGGGATTTACGCGTAAAAGGGAGACTGCAGAATCAGTACTTAAGAAAGTGGTTATTAACTATTCCCACTTTAACTGAAATTACTGATAGTATAGAGTCGTTTTGCATGTTATCAATTTATCAGTTTATCGTTACAAATCATCCGCCCTTACCTTTGAAAATTATAGTCTAGTCAAATAGGAGTCTGAATTAAAAAAGTATCGTGAAATTGTCGCTAATGTGTTGTCAAAGGGTTTTCGACCCTTCGGAATCCGAATCTGCAATGATTTTTTCTCTATGTCCGGGGGGGGGGGATGAGGAGAAAATGACAAATTTAAATAATTTTCGTGATTTACTCGGAAACGGATGGATTTAGGGAAAAAATAAGTACGTCACCGTGTAAAGGGCAAAATTTAACATCGAAAATCACGAATTGTAATACATAAAGACTTAAATAAAACGTTTGCAACAAGGATAATTAAATGAGCTGGAAATTTTAACGTCAATGTTACTCCGAGTATTGTTATACACTGTAAAAAATACTTTTGTATAATAACTATCCAATAGTAAAATTACAACAGATGTCTAACTCCGAGTGTAGTTCTTTTACTAGTCTCATACTAGTAAAATTACAAATTTTAATAAATTTACAATTCTTCTTGTAAAATTATGTCTCTGAGACAAGGTCTGTTTTGTGTCCAACTCTGAACTAGTAATTTTACGATAGCTGAAATCTTGGCTTTCGTTGTAAAAGTACTATCTCGATTGTAAAAGTAATACTTCATTAAACTAGTAAATTTATTAGTGCACTGTAAAACATACTTTTGTAAAATTACTTGTCTGAGAATTGAACATGAAACAAACTTATTCTGAGAGCAGTGAAATCGCTAGCAGCTAGTAAATTTTCTGTGCGATTATTTGGTTCTGAAATATCGATGATCAAAGACAAAATAATCTTTTTTTATTCAAACTCCAATATCTCTCAGACAAATTGTCCTATCGAGCTCTACAACCTTCCAAATTAAAGCTGAATGAACAAGCTATTTAGTCCACGTAATACTTTAGGTAAACTTTTTTTTTTCACGTCTGTGGACCAAAAAAAAGAACCAAACAAATTTGAAACATTTTTTTCTTGTGATATTCATTGGATTGCGCAAAGGACATGGATATGGACATTTCTTGATTAGGAGATTCAAAAACTAGAGACTTCAAGCTTCAATTTATTTTTTTGAAATTTTTTAAATAAAATATACGATCATAACGAAGATATAGCCATTTGAAAAATCAACTAAAATTTCTGTTTGTTCCCTTAATATTTTTCGCTAGTGTGTTATAAATAAGTACTCTCAACTAAATTTTTATAAGTTTAATAGTTTTAGCAAAATTGAAAAGATAACTACTACTTGGTCTAAAATTTCGTCATTAATACACAACAATGAGGTCGTTCAGAGTCCTGTTTCATTTCTTATAAATATCAATATTTTTGTAATCTCGATTTATAAAATCAGTAAAATCTTTAAAAAAAAAAAACAAGTTTTTTATTATTAATTAAGCCTGGAAGCGAAAAACACACATCTTTAATATTTTTTTACGGGAAATGCACGTTCTCGGAAAATGCAATTTAGATTGCGCTTAGCTTATAGATATATCGTATCAGAGTCTGCATTTAATAACAACAATACTATTATTGTTATTGTTACTTTAAGAACTACGATTCTTTGGAATACTGCAAAGACGTATAGACATTATTAGTATCTATGCATTAGTTTTGGTTCCTTCTATAATTTTTTTGAATGATGAGTAACACTTAATAATTACTATTTACATGAAAAATGTTAGTAAAAGATTATCTTAGCTTAATGTATTAAATGTTTAAGCAAATCGGCGTATTATGAGCGGAAAAGTAGACTTTCATGATCAAGCGTAGTAGTGGGGAAAGAGCAGAGCCGGATTTAGCTAGGGGCTTGGGAGGTCTATAGCCCCGGGCCCAGCGTCCAAGGGGGGTTCTACCCGGGTCGGGCTATAGGTCATGATTGTACAATTTAAAACAAAACTATCATCTATAAGTTTTATAAAAAATGATATAAGTAGTACATTAGCCGGGCCCTGCAAAATTAAATCCGGCTCTGAGAAAGAGACAAAGAAGAGAGAGTGGAAGAAATCTTGATTACGCGGCTGCAAAATCAACAAGCGTTGAACAAAGTCTATATTCAATTAAAAATAATATTGGAAAGAGAATAAACCAATGATTGGCTTCATTTCTCTTCATTACTAAATATTCTTGTACAGAGTGCGAAATTTATGTTGTAACTTTTGTGAAATATTGGTATGCAGTGAATATTAGTGAGACAGTATTGATAATACAATCAATATTTTTAATTTTAAGCACAGATTCGGATTCACACAAAAACATAAGGAATGGTATAACCTCTGATCTATTTGTTGTTTCCTATGAATTTAGCGCTCGAAGTAAGCATGTTAAAAAATGTATAGTTTTGGTCATTATAAGTGCGCTGTATTGTTTGTGAATATTTAAACTTTCGTGAAAAAAATTTTTTTTTCCTTATCCTTTGAAAAATGTTTAATGGGTTAATGTATTTAATTCATGCTTGTTTTACTTCAATTTACATGTTTGTATATGTTTCTAGTGTATAGCTCGTAGCTGTTTGAAATTATACATAAATCTACAATATTTAAAATAATATCTACACATACTTATAAAATAATCACATTTCTGAATTAATATCTTTAAGCTGTCGATATATTTGAATATTTTTATACAATGTTTGTATTGTCATTTTGAATATTTTGAGGTTATGCTTAATATTTATAGTTCAAAGTTGGTAGCAGCAGAAAATTCAGTTTTTATATAACTATTCCTTGCGGTTTGGAGAGACAGCAACACATTATGTTTTTAACAAAATAATAATAAAAATAAAAGTGATTATAATATCAATAAATTATATAATAATTTCAATCATATGTTCTTTTGTCAAACGAGCAAAAATTATATAAGCTTAAGCGATGACCATGACAGTTTCGAATTTTTATTTTCAGACTTTATTTACACAATCAGAGTTGTCTATAACACTGTAGTACTGATAAGTAATACTTATCTGATATTTATTCGTATTTTTTTAAGTACTCAACCTAATCACGCTTACGTCATAATTGTTAGAAATCAAAATTTCTATCTGTGCGAAGGTGAAAGTAATAATTTTGCTGATTTTTTTTCTGTGAACTGTTAACTTAAGGTTATGTGTGATTATTAATTGTCAGTATATATATATACATATATATCTATATATCAGTATTTACTTTGTGGTTTGGAAAAGATGGTAAATACTGGATTGTTAGTACTGACAAATCCAAAAAGGATTGGAAAATTATTACCAATCATTAAACAACATGTTTTAAAGACTTTATATATACAGTACTTTCCAGAAAAAAATATTCTTGTCTCCAGTTCATATTCAGTATCTCCAAAGTTGACAGGTCCTTGTTACTCACGGATCATAGCTAATATTTATGCATTTGCTACTAATCATTCTAACAGTTTAGATGTGCGAGTATTATTATCAAATTTGAAGAGTTCAAATGGATCAATTACACATACCAAAAGGCCAGTTGAATTAGTTATTTTTGATAGAATTTGTAGTAATAGTGATGCAAATACTTTTATGCAAAATTGTTTATCCAATACATCAATGGGCTGCAAGTATCTTACATTTGATGAAAAAGAACTAGAGACAGAATATGACGAAACTAGTGCAGAATCAAATAGTGAAGATAAGTTGTATAAAAATGTGGTTCTTGGTGGTACCTTTGACAGACTCCACAATGGCCATAAAATATTTTTAAGTGAAGCAATTTTACGGTGTACTGATAGTTTAACAGTAGGAGTGACAGATATAAACATGATAAAAAGTAAATATTATTTTATTTTTTAAAATATCAATAAATGTTTTATTTCATGGTACTTATAGCAATGAATAATTTTCTATTTCAGAAAAAATGTTGTGGGAATTAATTGAATCATGTTCTCAACGAATTGCTTCATTAAAAGATTTTACAGAAGATGTAGATCCTAGTTTAAAGTACAACTTGGTACCAATTATTGATATGTATGGCCCCACAAAAGATGATCCTAATTTTGAAATGATTGTAGTTAGTGAAGAAACAAAAAAAGGAGGTGAAATGATTAATGAAAAACGTAAAGAAAATCATTTAAATTCACTTGATATTTATGTTGTCAAGTTGGTTGAGGATGCAAATCACACAGAACATGAAGAGACAAAAATCAGCTCAAGTAACAATAGAATACGCTTACTTGGTACAAGATTGAAAACACCTGTAAGTTTAAAGATCCTGAATACTTTTTGCAACTTTATAATTTTTAAACAAAATAAATATATTTTTTATAGAATCTAGATGGTAAAGCCATTCTACCATATATAATTGGGCTTACAGGTGGAATAGCTAGTGGTAAATCATCAGTAGCTAACAAGCTGCAAAATTTAGGTGCTGGTCTTATCAATTGTGATTTACTTGCACATTCCTTATATGCCCCAGGTATGAAATGTAATACCTTAATAAAGGAAACATTTGGACCACAATTTATAAATCCTGATGGTCAAGTGAATAGAAAAGAATTAGGAAATTTAGTCTTCCATAACGAGGTGAATTATTATTTTCTTGAAAATCTATTTTTAGTTCATTTATAAATACATTTTACATTTTACAGGCTGAATTAAAAAAATTAAATAACATAATGTGGCCTGCGATTCTTGAGGAGACAAAATATCAAATTAATAAATTGTACAAAGAAGGGTTTGAAATAGTTGTAATAGAAGCAGCAGTTTTGATTCAAGCTGGTTGGCAACCTCATTGTCATGAGATTTGGACTTGCATAGTTCCACAAGAAGAAGTAAATAGATTATTGCATTTATTCTTTTTTACCTTAAATGGACTTATTTTTATAATTTTAACTTTTTTAAGGCTGTAAATAGGCTTATGGAACGAAATAAATTTAGTGAAGAAGAAGCTAAGAAAAGAATTTTAGTTCAACCAAATAATGTTGAGCAAGTGAAGAATGCTCATGTAGTTTTTGCTACTTTATGGAGCCATGAAATTACACAGCAACAGATTCAAAAAGCTTGGAATGAAATATTAAAAGACTTAAAAAAATATCTAAAAAGCTAGTAGATTAGCTTAATGTTAATATTCAACAAATTTTTTATGCTTAATGTAAACAACGCAAGGTTTACAATTTTTATTATGCAAGGCTGGTGTAATATATGTACAGAAATATCTATCTATATTTCTATGATAAAATTTAATAAAATAAATTATAGAATTGGAACTGTCATCTTTTAAAATTTCCATTAATAAAAATAAATATAAACTTTATAATTAGCAAATAACATGTTACTACTTTCAACAAATAAATTTTATTTGAAACTGATACAAGATTACAATATCAATAGGACATATTGTACTAAATTAGACCTACCATGAAGACACATCTTATTCTACGTCAGTAAAATATCAAAAAGCATTAAACTAGCAAGCTGTTTTATAAAATTCAATTGACACTTGCCAATGTTTCAAAGTGATTTTACAATTTACAAAACAATTAATTTATTCTTTAGTCTACAGATTAATTCGTCTTGAAAGTAATGAAAAAAATGTTTCTCGTCTAAAAATCAACAAATTGTGAAAAATACAATTTTTTATTTTCCGATGCCATTTCTACTATGCAAATTGCATATAAGCTTCAAAATTGAATAAAAGTAATATAATTAATTCTCGATACTTGATCAACCCATATTCACGTCTTCACCTTCTTTTTCTTCTGGATAAACCAGATTGTAAAGTCCCTGCAGAGCAGCCTTTGCAGCCATTCTCTTTGCATCCTTCTTATTTTTAGCTGCAACAATATTTATATAATATTATTAATATTATAATGATATAAGGTATCACAATAAAAATGTAATGGTGAAAAATTTACCAGCTCCAGTGAACTCTTGATCATCAACATGCACTCCAAGAGTAAACATGGTGTTGGGGGGATTGCCAACACGACTGACTTCATGGTAGGTCAGACCAGGTCTCATTTGATTCAGTAACATAACGGGATGAATACTGGTTGGATTTGGCGGCAATTCTTTTTGCACAACTGGCTTGTTAACAGGTTGTTCTTTCTTCACTTTTCCAGCAAGTGGTAAGCCAGGTCGTGGTACAGGAACAACTGTACCTTGGTTTTGCCATTCCAAGAATAATTTGTAGAGAGCAAAACTTGCCAAAGAGCTCCATGGGATTTCATCAGGTTCTTCAATTTCCATATTGGTTTCACCTTCCTTATTTTCAGTTCCTTCACCAACATTAGGATTAGCAATATTTTCATTTTCTGCATCAATACGTGCTTTCATTGCCACAGCAGTCATTTTTTCCAAGAGAAGACTCTTCAATGCATTCTCAGCAGCGTTTTGACGAGCGAGAGGCTTTGAAATACCTTGTCCAATGTACGTTTTACCATCAATCTAGAAAATAAAAATAATTTTATTTTAATACTTTACTTTACTTAAAATTAATACTTTAGGTTTGTTGATTCAAAATGTATGTTTTACCTCTGCATGAACTAAGAAAAGAGAGTTTGGCAAAGAAGCTTGAGTTTCTGGAAATGTAAACTGTACTCCTGTTTTCATTTCATTCAATACCATAATGGCATTTTTGGGTTGGATTGTCTTCCTTAAACGCTGATTCATACGTAGCCTCTTCAATTTACGGTTAACTTTCACTAAGAAAATGAAAAAATTGTAATTCAATTCCAATAAGAAAAATTAGAAAATATATTTAATATTTAAAAAAATTCAGAAAGATTATTTCACAGTGATTATTGTAATACTAAAACTCAACAGTATTAATACTGGAGTACTTAGAAATTGAAAATCTTCAAATTTGCGCAGTGATTTGTCATCATATTAAAAAAAAATATTTTTATTTGTACAAAATTTGAGGATATAAAAAATGAAACTGGATATCTAAAAGAAAACAAGTTAAGCAAAATTTAGAATTTGTTCTTCTACTCACAACCAGGAATCTTGCGCCTCCATTTTGGTACTTCCTGGATATCACTTTCCATACTCTCGCTTGGGAGATCACTGTTGTCTACTCCATTATTAGGTTGTTGTTGTTGTTGTTGTTGTTGTTGTTGTTGTTGTTGCTGCTGCTGTTGTTGCTGCTGCGACTGTTGTTGTTGGAAATTCTGCTGTTGATTTTGATTGAATTGTTGGTTTTGCCCTTGAGCTGGAGTGCCCTGAGCATTACCACCACTGCTTTTCAAAATTGGCTTTAAACGTTGTGGTTGAGGTGTTGAGTGCTGTTGTTGCTGTTGAGGTTGCTGTCTTACAGGAGTGCCACCTCCACTCTGGTTGAAATTTTGTTGATTTTGGTTTCCACCCTGATAATTTCCGTGATGGTTGTACTACAAAACATAGGGGGAGGCCGCTACACAAGGAACGTCGACGGTTGTGCTATCCCACCAAGGCCCAGCATCACATCTGCTTTATAGCAGCAACTCTAACGCTGCCCACATAGCTTTTTACCAGCCAATTTCCCTTTAACTACGGCTTGTTTTATATCAACTCATAGCAAGTCAAGTTTTTGTGCAATAACGAAACTTTTTAAGCGAGCCAGATGTAATCTCCATGTGGTCAATATACAAATGGCTAAAGAAAATATTGATATATACGTCTCAGTAACAACAAAATTTGCATATTTCTTTCCAACTTGATTAGGCATGAGTTCAGCTCGAATTATTTAGGGAACAGCTCATGGTACATATGCTATGTAGGTAACTGGCGAACTTGCCCTTGGCGGAATGCACATCCTCGGTATATTTGTATAGCTACTACAGCCTGCATGGCAGGATTGGGAGATAGGAATCACTAATTAGTACATGCAAACACGATTGCTCCATATTACCTTTTTTATAATATAATTACAAATTGAAGCAATGTATTTTGGCCAAGAAGCGTTTGTTTTTATTCCTTTTGGCAAATTAAAATTTTTTATTGAAAAATTTATAAAATATAGACTAATTATTACATATATTTTAGTTCAACCAATGGCAAAATTTTTATATTATTATATATTCAATTGTTTTTATGAAATTATATTTTGTGATAGAAGTATATAATTCAATTCTCATTTTCTTTACAACATTCTAAAGAATTTTAACAAATAAATTTATCGATCCATATAATTTTACTAAATAATCTTGCAAACTAGTTAAAATAATACTTATAATACTTATAGTGGCAATTCTAAGGGACAATGATGTGAAAATAAACATGAAAACTTACAGATTGCTGTTGATATTGTTCTCTTTGTTGCATATTGCCACCGCGCTGTTGCTGATTGCCTGATTTCACAAAATATAAAATTATCAGTTAATGTAAGATATTAAATAAAAAAAATTAAAGCGTCATTTTCTTAATCCTATTTTGTTTGAAAAACTACTCAATTAGAATAATTTTGGATTATTCCACAGAATTAATTGCAGAAAAGTAATGACATGACTGCATTACAAATGTTACAATCGTTACAGAATCTCTACGAAGGATATATCCCTATTCACTTCAAAATAAGCATGCACAAAGTGACGCGACGCCATTTTACCGCAGACAGATATTGATTATTCACATCCTTGAACAAATATACTCTTTCATCAAAAGCGTCTTATTATATTTATTATACAATTCGTATATTGATGATAAGAAATTTATAAATGCACTTATTAATAACTAAAGATCTATAAAATGATTTACCGGTGAAGTTCTGGCTTTGTCTACTTCTCGTGTACATAATTGTCTTATATCACCAAACTTATATTTCTAAAGAAATATAAGAAATTTAGTTTTATTTGTAAAATTAAAGATTATTTATGAATTTCAGTTGATAAGATATGCAATTACTGTAAAAGTTAATACTAAAATTATAACTGCAGTGCCGCGAAAAACGAAACTGCTTTGCGGATGAAAATGCTGCAATGGATTGGTTTGGAGCTGGAACGCCGGCGACCGGATGCAATTTATAGTGGAGGGGAGATGTCGGAAATGACGTACACAAACGGCATAAAATTACATGTTGCAAATTTTCAAAAGTAACCGCGAAAATCATTAAGAACTTTTAAAATTATCTTATTCTGATACTATTTAAATCCGGTGAGAAAATGAGAAAACATGATTGACGTGATTATTCACACCAAGATTTTCGGAATTTCGTGACAATATGAATGGTTTTTACTAAAAATGAATTTAAGGTATGATACCTATAATCACAAGGATGGAAAAACATCAGCCTTCTACTTAATAACCCCCTTTATCTTCATTAATAATCCTAAAAACCAAGAAACTCTATACATGACTTCGGTGAACATGAAAAATTTACGTGGCTCTAAGAAAATCCTCATCGTGTTAAGTATTTACCGGGATCCTAATCATGCAATTACGTCATTACAGGAATCTTATAGTGCGAATAATCACGTCGAAATATAACTCATTATGGAATTTGAAATGACAAGTAATATATTTCCATGTTATTTATTGTTCATTTATATAACATTTCGAAAAATTCCTATTAAAAATTATACATAAATTTATATTCTGTTCATACAAAATAAAATATATATCACATTACACTCATATAAAAAACTTATCTTTTTATTTATTCAACTTTTCTTATAAAAAGTTAATGCTAGTTTTTACTGCTACATTTGTCGCTTGAAAAAGTACATTACTTTATTTTATTGTATAGTTTTTTCAACATCGAATTGAAAAATATTTCTCATCAACATTTTATTTAAATTAAATATTTTCTACTTAAAGAAACATCCCCAACCAGCCAAGAATGAAACAAGTACCTCCTAAAGGCGTTAATTTACTAAATGATTTGTCTCCTGTAAATGCATAAAAATAGCAAGTGCCACAGAAAAGGAATATTCCTGATATCATGAAAGTTCCAGCCTGGAAAATTAATAACTTTCATTACATCTAGTAATTTTTTCAATTTATTTTGTTTCAAATTAAAATAAATTCCAATAATTTTTACATAGTTTATGCAAACATACAAATGAATACAAATGAATTCTGAATCTTCTATAAATCAACATTATTTGAAATAACATTATTTGAAATAACTTACAATACGTGGCTTACGGCACATAGGTAATCCTAAAAGTGCTAATGTGTGGATAAAATGATAACGAGAAGCAGTATCAAATACTCTTCTTCGTTCTTCGCCTTTTTCTTCAAGAGAATATGACTCTAATAAAAATAAATTAACAATCATAAATAACTATTAAGTATATTGTATATTTATAAGTTTATCAGATTATATGTGAAAACATACTGTGTGAACCATAAGCTCCTAAAATGACAGCTGCAGCTCCACTGATTGCTGCAAGACGAATAAATGGTCCGTTTTGGAGAGCTAATTTGTAAAGAGGCTCTGACTGTACCATTTTAACTTCTATTTTTTTAGGTCTAATAGAATCAACAATCTAAAACAATTTACATGATTAAATTAGAAACTATTACTTTATGATTATTGTAATATATTTTAGTCAAATTTCATAATAATCAGAATGATAATGATAATAGATAAATAATAAATGTTAATGGAAGATTAAAAAAGGATAAATTGTAAAAGGCACTGAAATCATAATATTAGAAAAAAACACATAGGTTAAAATACCAATCACTCACGGTATTTGTTGCTGTTTTGGCTATACTTATTGTATTTACAACGACGGGGTTTGTAAACAGAATATAATTTAGTGTATCTTGCCCAACAAAACCCATTTCTTTAATGTATTATTTCGGTCAGTAAAAATATTGTGAATGAAAGCAACAGATTATTGCAAATATATATTATGTATATTGATATATATGACAATGTGCAATAGCTTATGGTATAAAACTTGAAATATACAAATAGCTTTAATTGTAGTTATTTATTAATTCTTAGCAAATTTCATTGTAATTCGTAGTGAGACTGTTTTTGTGACAATCCGGTCCGGCTCGAGGACTCGATTTAGGCATGCCCGGGAAAGTAAGCATGCTTCAAATTTCATCTGGCACTCGTATCAAAATGTACTATAATATATAAAGATTTAAAGAATTAATAAATCAATAAAATTATATATATATATATATATATATATATATATATATATATATATATCACATTCTAAATAATACCTATATATTTATTATTTAAGCTAGTATAGTAATTCTTTTTATCATTATTTATATTCAATTTAAGAATATATTTCTGAAATAATAAATTAAATATTTTTATAAAATGATATATATTATATTTTTCCCGATTTTTACTAATAAAAGCACTAGCTAGGCCTGGCACTGTAATCTTTCACACTGCAAATATGAAAATCAAAAGTAAATTTTCTTAATAGTGCTTTGAAATTACAGAAATTTTTTCACTAATAGCTGCGAATTTAAAGTATTAATTCTGAAATGATTCGATCAATGTATTGATTTGAATTCATTGACTGATATAGTTAATAGTTCTATATTAAATAAGAACAAAAAGGTGAAAGTTTTTGCCTTTGTAAATAAATCGTAATAATAACACTGTACAATGCTTTTGTAAAAAAATGAATTACATTAATTTGAATTGTTATGAAACGATACATACTTGATCAATGTAAGTGAATAAATTAATTAATTAATAAATTAATATTTTCATTGCCTTTTTGTTTTAACTGTACCTGAGGATCATCTAATTCAGAGCATTTACAAGTTGTTTAATTTTTATTCTGGTTTATATTATCAGTGCAGTTAAAACTAGGATATAGTGCATTAACATATTTATAAATGAAACAGCACTCGACATTTATCTCTCTAGCCATATCGTCCGTCAATCGCTCGTTGCTTCGAGGCCGATCACTTCACACACACATAAACCTATATAGCTCTATACACATAAAGTGATCAGGGATCGGACTGAGAGAGCGAGAGAGAGAAAAGCGGTGGCAGCAAAACTTAACATCAGTCCGCAGCGTGGCTGCGCCAAGCTAGGTATCGTTGTTTCTCTTTCTTTCTTTCTTTCGCAGGTTTAGCCCTAAAATCGTTCCGCTATTTATCGGAAAAATTCTATCGCGAGTGTAAACAAAGAACGAAAATGTGAAAAATACCGAAGTGTTGCGCAAGAATTAACTCTCTTTCTCTACTCTAATTATTATATAAAGTGATGGCTAGTGGAAACGGATGCACAGGAGACGGAGATAGTGCAACGAGAGCGCCGTGAACGGCGTGGAAGGGAGAAAGGGAGAGAAAGTTAAAATAAAATTTGAGAACAAAGCTCGACGTTCGCGAGACAAAAAGAAAAGAACTGCAATGTGTGCGTGCGCGTGTGAGCCGATATTTCGCTTTGCATGACTTTTTGTTTGTTAATTACGTACACGCACGTTTCTTTCTCAGTCGAGTCACTGAACTTATCGGCTGCACATTGTTCGGATACTTTTATTGTGCGAACTTCGTCTCGATGATGTTTGTAGACTTTGGTTCTTTATGTCGGAAAATGCAGTGACTGGATACTATATTTGACAAAATGACGAACAGAAATAGCTTCAAGGTTTGTATATAATTTTGCACCGCAGTCATTACAAGGCCGATTTTATAATCTTGAACTTAGTGTTTTTACCGATCATTGCCGATCAGCATAAATTTAGATATTTTTAATTCGTGACATACTTTCATGCTTAATCACTGAAATAATATCAATGTTTTATTGCGGAGGCATATCAGCGACTGCATATGAATAACAAAGTTTTTCCTCGAGCGGAAATTCATTTTTTTCGTCAGTAGTGACGGCGGAACAAAATCGAACGTTTGTTTTTTATTGCACTCCTGATAACGGTAAAAAAAGAAAATGGGTAGTTGCTTTCTGACTTTATGATGCTTGTCTTTATTACCTTCAGTGAGCGCAGCGCTATGTTGATACGCACGCTTGTAATATTAACGTTCTCTTGTTCACGATTATTATATATATATATATACCGTCAATCAAGCGGTGTAACAATAAGAAAAAACTAAAATCCGTAATAATCGAATCAATCCTGTAAAGCACGATGTTAACGCGCCAAGTTTGGCGCAGTTCACCTGTTGCGTCCAACAATAGCAAGTGAATTTCGCGCTTTTAGAACGCGTGCGCGCTACTGAATTCTAATGAGCAGCTCTCTCTAATTTACATAGTTGTCCCAACTCAAATAGCCTTATCATCAGTCGTGAATTGACCGTTTACATCATCATTGCTTATCTTAAAATCATTGTGATTGCTCCACATCAAGATTAAGACTTCTGATAATAAACTGACATTTTATATTTTCTTTTGATTAATCGCATCAGTATGGCGACATATTAACAGGTATTATATAAGCTCTTGCTCTTTACAATTCTTTCTAATCTTGTTCTTTTTCCTTCTTGTTTAATCATTTTCGTTCTCGTTCTTCCTAAATGTTAATTTAGTTGCGCATTGGATTTCGAATACCGATGTTTTTTCGCCGCTTTTTTTTCTCGCTCATTTTTTAATGAGTCATTTGAAAAGTATGCGAGACTCGATGCTCATTATGAATATCGTCGCAAATGTTTTCGTGTTTAAATGTATGCACGTGTCGCTATCGGCTAGTATGCAAATTACTAGCCTGTAATTTTCGTAAATTTTGCAATGCAAAAATTGTTGAGCTTTAAGTAGCCAATGGATCGACGGGTGTGCCTCGAAAAGCCGATACTTTAAGTCGCACTCGTAAAGAAAGAGGAACAACTGTACTTTCTAGCACAGCTGGTTCGCCGAGCGATTGGTTTTCACGATTCGTATATAGGTGTGCATATGTGCAGACGACGCTCACATGTATGTACGCTGACCGTTGCGTTTCCTGTCTAAAAATAGAACCAAGCTGCGCGATCGTTTATTCACTCTAAACACACGCGCTTCTCTTCCTCCTCGATTTGCAGGCTCTCACGCAGATATAGCTTTATCGGCAGTATTAGAGCACGCAACGGCGATTCTGTATTAGCGTTGAACTTCTGACAGTTGGAGCGAGCGATACGCGAGTGTAGCAGGCTCGAAAGGAACCCTGAATATTTTTTTGTTCAAGGCTTTCAATTTTATCAACGATTCGCATTCCTGATGACTTATTTCAGTGTGTTATACCTGTCTGCTTATGTCACTTGGTTTGGACGGACGACCTTAGCGATTCTCTTGATAGCGAATTGCTTGACTTAAAATTGAAGAAAAACAAAGCATAAAGTTGTTTTACGTAACGCCAGTCTGTATATATTCTTGAGCTTTCACTTGTGTCATTGACATGCTGAGATGCGCATTTTTATGTACCAGTGAGCGATGATTCACAATTTATCATTTTTGTTGTTGGAATTTTCAATGTGTTCCAAGTATACAAAATTGAGGATGTTGTGCGCCCTTTGAATATTTATATCGAGATTTCCATTTTGCCAATGTTCTTTTTTATCAAATTGCGCATGGAAAAGCTGGCAAGTGCTTGTTTGCATCTTAAAAGTTTTATAATGTAATTTCTTCATTTTACGTTTCATTTTTCGAATAAATACAAAGTTTGAATAAAACATTTAAATAAAAAATCGTTTAAATCTATCCCTAGATGATCATATGTTCAAACAGGACCCGTATGCGAATTAATTGTAATATCTAGATGTCATCGATTGTACATCAGATAACATGATCGACATAAATGCGATAAAAGCGAAATGTTCAAGCGAAACGTTAATTAAAAGAGTTTTTTTGATGCAGATCCGGTGGTTCACCGCGATAATGTACTTATATGTGGTAAGTGCTCGTACTGAGGAGGATCAATCTATGACGGCAAATGCTCACGAATCTCTAGTCGTAGCCAACAACAATCAAATGCCAGAAAAATGTTTCTACCGTGGTCCATCCGAGTGTCCACCAGCTGGAGCAAATCCTTGCAAAAGGATAACATTGTCAAATGTAGGCACTGAGAACGTTGCTGTTTTCTGCTGTAACTTAACGAATCATACGGAATTCGAATCTGCGCTTGCTCGTGTTAGTAAGTGAATCTTTCGAATAGTTCAGCAACGATTTTACGAATTGTAAGAATAAGATCATCGTTATTAATAAATTTATGTTTTTAGATTTCCCATCCAATGTCTCGTACATTCACATCAGAAATGCGACGTTGAATTACGTTAACACCAATGAAGTTCGATGGAGGATGTTGAAATCGTTGGCTATAACTGACGGAAGAATCAGTCGAATTAAAGGACAGTTTCTCATAATGACGCCGATGGTGTGTTTGAATTTATCTAACAATGCTTTATTAGAAATGGAAAATAGTTCCTTGATTCGACTTTCGCAATTGACGACTTTGGATTTATCTTACAATAATTTAACACATTTACCGACTTTGAATATCATGAATGGCAGAGAATTTTGGTTGGACATTTGCGGTAAGTTTTAATTTATTACTTCAATTTCAAATGAGTGGAAATTGTGAACAAAACTGTTTATATAGGAACTAATACTTTACTGTGTCATGACATTCAACAAAATGTCAATAAAACTGGTGAGAATCAAATAATCTTTAATCGAGAAAATGAGACTTTATGTTCGACTAAGAAAAATTGGCACTGGTTTAATTCAACCGAAGAGATTCCACTGAAGTCGGTCCGGTATATCAGTTCGGTAAGCACTCTTTTACAAAATAAAACCTAAAGTTATTTAAACGATGTATAATCTAAATATGATTTGTAAATAAATTAGTTACAAAGTGAATGCCCAAAAGGAGAAAATTGGCACTGTATTTGTGAATTCGACAGATTAGAGTTTTTGCCAGACACAATGCCAACTATGGCAGTAAATGTGGATTGTAGTAATAATCAATTGACCCAACTACCAAAGAAATTACCTCGAAATACTGTCAAGTTAAATGTCTCTTATAATAACGTAAGTTTTATCATCGAGTCTTTATTTGAGAAAGTTAAATTTATATACTGATAAACAAATGATATTCTAGATCACTACTCTTGACGAATTATATACCAACCCAAATTATGACGACCTTAGAGAGTTCACTGCTGATTATAACAATATATCATCTATTAATACATTAGAAGGATCGAAATTTTTAGATAGTTTTGCTTTTCTAAGTTTGCGACATAATAAAATTAAATCTGTGAGTAATCAAAGGATGAATTCTTCATGAGTTTTATATTAATTAAATGGAAAATAAATACGTGATTTTCCTGTTAATGCAGCTACCTACTTATATATTAGCTTCCAATTTTGACAAAAGTTATAGTACCAGTAGATACGGGATTCGATTTGGAGGAAATGAACTTCACTGTGATTGTAATACAGCCAAATTTTTAAAGGTAATCATAATATTAAAAGGCAAGTAATTATTAATGATAACTTAACGTTTAACATAAAATTCATAGATTTGGCTTCAAACGAGAATAACAGACCCCGATGAAGTACTTTGCGAGAACGTGAAAGAAAAAGTCATTGATTTAGAGCCATCAAAGATGTGCGTTTATCCTGGAGACTGGACTGATTACATCTATTATATAATTGCTACTGAAGTGCTCTTGTTAATCGGATTAATCGCTAAAGTTTCATATGACTATTGGGTGTTCAAGACTGCAGGGTATCTTCCATGGCCTGCTAATAAAATGCCTAAACTACCTTGTGACTGGTTATGTGAAACATAATCTATCCATTGACTGCATATATCATTCAACCATGATTGAACATTCAATCCTGGCTAAAATATATAGTTAGATATTCTTAAAAAATAAGTATCAAAACGAATTTAATATTTCTAATAGGAGTGGTAGGTTTTTATCTATTTCTACATAATATTATGTTCTTTTTTTATTTGATTTAATTATTATTAGATTTTTATAACTAATTTTATAAGAAATTTTTGAAACATTTTTAATTACGTGTATATTTTTATTATAAAAGTATTCATTGCCATTTTTCTCAATTTCAATTGAATGAAATTAATCATTATATTAGATGTATGTAACTTTATTGTTATGAAAGCTAGCTGTGATTATTTTTTTGTCCATGACTTTTAAATTAACAAACGAATTTGACTGCATTATCAACATATTTTGTAATATCTAGTCTGTAAAACTTTTTTAAGAAGTCTATTTCTGCATATCATATGTATGTACAAAATGAAACTTGCATAAATACAACTCTAAAGTGTATGCTTGTAACGACATTATTTCTCATGTTTTATATTACAACCTCGTTTTGTTATGTGTTGTACTAAACAAGAAATTTACATAGCATATATATATATATATATATATATATATAGTGCAAACGATCAAGAATATATTAGCTGGAAATGAATTTTGAAAAAACTTGTACTATGTAAGATTGAAATTGAACAAATTCTCTTTCTTTTCTTCGACAACTAGTGGATAGAATATCTTAATTTTTTTTAATTTGGAGCCGTTCTACGAAATATTAATATTTATTTTACAGTGAAATATTATATAAATGTTTAAACAATATTTTGAAAAGATATTTTTACAAATCTTTTGAAATCAACTTATAGAAGTTATTCTAAAATAAAAGTTATGTGGCACTCTTTTACCAAGTTGCAGTGAAATAATTCAAATGTCATTGCTGATTTATTTTATCTAGCCAAGAAATGTTTACATCAACATTTCCAAATTAATTAGTTAAATATTTTGTACAATGTTCGTGCAAAGTTTTTTTGGCACATCATTGGACGGGACTATTTAGTCAGAAAAGTGATGTGCACACTATTGATGTCTTCGTTGCTGCTTCTTTGATATGGCGCTCAAATAAAATTTAATATCCATCATAGTCTCAAGTACTTTATTTCACTGTTTAAAAGAATTATATCCTTGTTTATGAACTGAGGAGAATCGAACTGCTTATATCGCGTCACCATGATTGCTTCGCATTCCCATAAAGTATGAATAAAATTAATTCTACATTTTCTTTAATTGCTGATTTTATTAATTTCTTAAACCAATTTAATATAGACACAACAATAAAATATTAAATACATAAGTAAATTATTTATTTTTCTACAAATTTCTTTAATTCCAAATTCAAAAATATTTTATACAGGATTCGCAGAGATTCCGTACAGAATTTATATAGAACTCATAAAAAAAACTTACGAAAATGGTGTGGATTGTTCCATATAAAATCTGTACAGTGACGTTCAAAAAAGGCACCATTGTAATTTTTATACATTTTTCTTACAGGCATCCGTACGATTTTCTTTTTTTTTCCGTATAATATTCGTACCTATCGCAGGATATTGATGAGCTAGTTCTAATTTTCTCCTCTGTTTCTTACTGATTTTCTTCATAGCTAACATATAATCAGGTACTTCACAGCCCGCTTCTCGCATTTTCGTAGCAATACTAAAAACATTTGTTAATTGTTTTATTTTACAGTTTTCCACCATATTTGTTATATTTTGTCTTACCTTCTTAAATTAATGGCATCATCTTGGGTAAAGAATGTTATAGCTTTTCCTTTACGTCCAGCTCGACCCGTTCGACCTAAAAATATTGAATTACAGTACCAGATAATATCCCTTAAAATATATCAACTTAAAAGTTACCTATCCTGTGAATATAAGATATTGCTGATTTAGGAAAGTCATAATTTATAACAAGGTTAACGTCTTTGAAATCAATACCACGAGCCATCATTTCTGTACATATGAGAACCCATATTTTTCCTTCTCGAAAACATCGTACTACGTTGTCTCGCTAAAATATTAAAGATATGCTTAATTGTAGGCAAAATAAAAATTGCTGAAATAAGGTGATTTGCATTACTTGTGTTTGAGTCCTTTCAGCATGGATCATATCTACATTGATACCATCGTAAATAAGTTCTTTAAATAATTCTTCAGCTCTTGCTTTAGTGTCGACAAAAATGAGCACTGGTGGATTTAATCCCTAGAGTATATTAAATTAAAATTCATGTTATAAATTAAAAATTTTCATAAAAATATTCAGTCGATGATTAAACATACCTTCTGAATAATATTCCTAATTTCAATAAGTTTTCCCCTTTCACATCCAACAAATAATAATTCTTGTTCTATGGTATCTGCAGTAGCATTTCTAGAAAAGAAAATAGTAAATATGACAATGCAATGTACATTTTATATAAAAATTTTTTTTTATATACCTATGTCCTACTGTAATTGTAACTAATCCCTTCAAATTATGCCTGCACCATTTTGTAAGTACAGGTGTATTAGTAGCACTAAACATTGCATAATGTATATTAGGATTTGTGCAAGCTTTTGAAATTTCTTGTAATTGTTCTTTGAATCCTCTAGTACTTTCTTCAAATAGCTTATCTGCTTCATCAACAACAAGCCATTCAACACTAAACAAAAGATAAAAGCAAGAAAAAAAAGATTAATCTATAGAATAAAAATAAGTATGACAATTTTTCAAATTTAAATTTTATGTGTAAATCTTACTTGTTCAAACTTATTGCTGGTGGGTCTTGATTCAATAAGAAAACAACTCTTTTGGGTGTAGTTATTAGAATATCTAGAATATAAAAAAGTTTATATTGATATTAAATAAGATTTTTACATTACGTTTTTAAATGATACTTACCATACTTTTGATTACTTTTGGGACCATATTGTGTTAGTGCTTGCTTTATTTTACTGATTATATGAACTCGGAAACCTCTACCTTCACTCATTCTCATGCATTCACTATAAGTCTGTTTAGCCAATTCTCTTGTGGGACTAATAATTACAGCTCGAAAGCCCTTTTTTTGAGGCCCAATTAGATGGTGTATAATAGGAAGTAAAAATGCAGCAGTTTTTCCTGAACCGGTCGGTGCACATGCTAATATTTGTCTTCCCTTGAAGAAAAAATACATTATTATCTTATTAAAACAAATAATATGTATTTAAGTGATCAATAACTTACTTGTAACATGACTGGCATAGCTTGCATTTGAATGGGAGTTGGTTCAGTGTATCCACAATTTTTCATGTTCTGCAAAATGTCACTTTTGACATTGTAAATTTCAAACAATTCTTCAAAAGATTTTATAGGTACTGGTACATGACTACCAGTAACAGATATATGGTGCTGATTTCGATACTGATTTATCTGACAATAAATTACAAAAATGTAAGAATAACTGATATTTGTTTTATACTTTTAAATATTACAATGTACCTTTTCTTGTTCTAATTTCAACTTTTTATCTTCTGTCATAATTTTACTCTTTTTCTTTGGCCTGATGATAGTCCCATCTTCAACGGCAGATATTCCATCCAAAAGTGTAAGTACATTTTTTGGTTTTTCATTTTCATCATTATCATCGTGTTTTCTTTTGGAATACTTTACAATCTCTTCTGAACTACCTGTTTCAACAATGTTCCTTTTACTTTTTTCAACGTCATCTGATTCTTCATTGACTTTTAACAAGTCTCTGGGCGAATGTTTTTTCACTAACTATAAAATATTTTTGTAATTACAAATAGTTAAAATATTAAAATATTTACGTGAATAAAATATATTATTTTACCGAAAATCTTTCTGCATCACTTGGAAAACGTTTCAAATCATATTTTATTCCAAAAGAAAGGGTTTTAAATATATCGTACGCATCCATCGTAAATGTTTACGATCTTTTCACGTGTTCAGCGTTATATTAACAACATGACCATAACCTCATTCTTTACTGTAATGTGTCGACTACGGGTAGTGAAATTAATAACTGTTTTATCTGTTAAACGCTGCCCTACTATATCGACGGAGTTGCTAAGTAAACAAGGAATGTCGATATACTTCTGCTCTTTCCTCTTTCACAGTCACAGTTTACAGTATTCACACTCATTTCTCGCGTTTGCTTGTGGCGTTATTGGCGTTTAGTCGTTGATGATTTTAGAGTTTCAAAAATACTTCACTCTTCTTTGTTCAATCATCTATGGATTAAATATAATGATTACTTTTCTACAAATTTTCAAAAATACATAAACTAAATTAACATTACTTTGTTGAATATATATTCAATTTGATTCACAAAAATCTTTAAAACATTAGAATTGGAAAGTAGTTGAAAGTTTCTTTGATGATGATGGATATAACCTGTTAAAATGCCAGTAACGTCCAGTTGTCATTATTGAAGAAAATATTCGTGTAAGCTGCTTTGCATATTTTGAACTAGAATGCAGTAATAATGTATTTTTGAATATGAAAATTTTAATATTATTTGTAAAATTGATGAATACAAGGAAAACCACTTTTCACTTCTTGTAAATTTAAGGTTTTGCAACTTTAATTTTAGTTAACGTTTTTGACAAATGTTGTAATATTCTTACATTTTTAAGATTATATCAACAAAGGCAACAAAAGCAATGGAATTTTCAACATCTTCTGTCAAAATGAATGGGATTCCTGTTCTTCCACCCCTTGTAATTAATTATATAATGATTTGATTTGTTTTAAGATATCTTCAAGTTAAGCTTCATATGGACTCTACTGTTTTCAGATTACAAATGATATTACAACAGAAATACAGTACTACAAACAATTATCTGTGGCTGTAGAAGAGAGATTAAAAGCTCTAGAATTTGCAAAGGAAGCCATGACGAAATATACGCAACTTAATGGAAATGGTGTTAAACTTCATAATGAAGAACAAATATTAACAGAAAATAATATACAAAGTACAGAGTCCAAAGACCAACCTACAGTAGATTATCCTACAAAAGACAAAGAAGAGAGCTTAATAGACTTCAATTTGTCCATTAGTGAAAATGTGAAAATTGAAAATTTAGTAGATAAGAATGCCAATATTTCTGAAATGCCATTAAAACCATCAGTGCATTTACAAAGATCAGTAATGCTTGAAGATAAAAGCTGTTTGGGTGAACTTTTTTTAGGAGATAGTGTTGATTCAGACACGATTACAACTAGTACAGATTTAAATCAATATTTAAATACATCAGTTTCTACAAAAACAGACACCACTGAAACAACGCCAGAAAACTGGAAGCCACAAGTGCCTAAGTCTTTGGATATTGTTCCAATAACTATGGATAAATCAAAACCTCCAGATAGATCTCATTCAATAGATGCAGAAACTCCAAAATTAATAAGGCAAGGTTCTTATGTACTAGAAACACCAAGTCCTGTACTTATAGCGCATATGCAAAATGAATTTGGTAATTCTGAATATAAGCCTTCTTCTGCACAATCAGCAAAGTGTAGAGAATCGAATACTAGTCAAACAAGAGGGAATTGGGAATCTCAAAATATTTTCAAAGAACCTCGCATGAATTCTGCTAGTAAATTAAGAAAAAGTAGCATTGTTAGTCAAAGAGTCAGTAAGTCTGTTTCTAACTCTAAAACTGGATCTCCTTTAGATTTGTATCAACCAGCAAAATCAGTGGATTGTATTCAAGCTATGTTTGCTAAAGAATGCTACTCACCTAAGAATGTATTCAACAGACTTTACAATCAAAATCCAAGAAATTCACCACCTGTCAGTGGTACGAATGGTTTTAAAAATAATAATGCTAAAAAGAGCAGTAAAAATTCATCAATACTAAATTTAGCTAATAAATTAAGTGGATCATTAAACATTGTAGGTAATAATAGTCCAAAGCCTGTTAGAAGAATAGAAAAAAAAACGGAGAAAAATGAATCTAATTTAGACAAAAGTTTTGATAGAGATTCTGTAAAAAGTAATGATTCAAATGTTAATGCTGTAAAACATAAATCAGTTATAACATCTGAAAAAATTGTAACAGTTTTTAAAGAAGTTCAAGATACTCATAAAAAACAAATGATAGATCTAATTACTAGGCAGCAAAAAGAACAACTTTTAATGCAAGAAAATTTCAAAAAACAACAAATACTTTTATTGGCCCAGATTAGAAAAGCTTTTCCAGAAATTTCTATATCTACATTATCAGAGGCAATAACTGGTAAAAATACTGAACATATTACACCTTTGAGCTCAAGAATATCAAATGGTCAACAAAAAGCATGTGATACCCAAAAAAGCAAATTACAATGTAATGGAATCAACCATCAAGTTGATAATAGTGATCATAATATTAGTCAATCATCTTTAGAGTTTTCAAATTCACCTAAGGAGCTGTCATCTAATTCATGTCATTTAGTTTATCAACCAACAACTCCCATGACTATTCATCAAAACCATTGTCAAGCCAACCAACATGTAGGAGATACTCCAAACATGATCATTAGTCGTGTACAATTATCAAATATTAGAACTATTGACGATATTCCAGTAGGAAATCCAATGCGTAGACATTCCAATGTTAGTCGTCAATTATTTCCTTATGATAGTAAATCTCATGTTCCAGTTATAGACACTTCCAAGTATACTGAAATACATGTGAGCTCTTCACAGTAGAGATAGTTTTTTTTTCATTAGTTACATAATGATTCAAATCATTTAATGTACATTTTATAATTTTAGAATAAAGCAGCTTATATAATAACTGCATATGCCAAAGGATTCTTGGTAAGAAGGTTAATGAAAACGGAAAAAGTGATTGCTTTGAAAAATACATACAGAGAAGCTTTACACTGTATGTTGAAACTTCACGTTGACGCGCCTCTAAATTTGCCAGAACTAAATTTTCATCAAAGACTTCAGTTGCAGGTATGATTTCACTGAAATTAGTGTTGAAAAGTAATTATTCAGAATATTCCTAATAAATTTGATTCTTCTTTTGTATAGTGTGATGCTGCATCGATGAACATAGTTGACTTATTTTCACAAAGTCCTACCCGGAGAATGGAAATCATAGCACATGATAGAGAGATTAAAAGAGCTCGTTCTGACAGACCAAGCTCTGCTCGTTCATATTCTTTTGCAACACAACGTACACTTGCTAGAAAGAAAATGAAAGAGTATGAATCTGACTAATAAATTTAACATTTTTATTTTTCATTTTAGTATATACTAGTATATATTTTTTTATTTATTTCTATACATAGTTTTTATAAATAAAATGTTTGTTGTTTAAATAATAGTATTGCTAATTTTTATTTATATAGTTTGCGTAGAAAAACATCAAAGTTTTTCATAAAAAAACAAGTAATGAGCATGTTTATTAACGTATTTTGAATTTGATTGTGTATGTGTGTGTTTGTAAATACGAAATAAAGTTTTATTTTGAAGTCACCACGAATTTGAATGTAACAAGTATGTTATTAATTTTGTGCATGTTTCATAGAATTATCATAAATATGGAAAAATAATTGTAATTGTAGAATGGGGATATACTCAAGTATGCAAAGTTCAATGATGTCTCGATCTTGTCCCGCAAGAACACGATGTCAAACGTGGACTCCCAATCTAAGAGAGAAAAGAGTTACAGCAAGTATGATAAGTAAGTGTAATTAATAAAAATCATTAAATCATAAAATTTATCATATTTGTTATTCATTAAATAAACCTATCAAATATTTGAAAAATAAAAGTATATTAATCTTTCATATTTTAGGCCAAGGTATCAAGAGAAGTACTAGTGCTGGTGCTGTACGTAAACCATGGCGATGAAAATGCTCTCTAATAAGTTACTATAACTGTACATGTAATGAATCTCTTAGCAGTAAGAAAAGATACACTGCACTAAAAAAAAAAGAAAAACAAAGCCGTCTTTAGTGCCTGAAAGTATCTTTTAATTGTGCTTTAAATGCTTTATGTTAATTATTATTGTTGTGTATGTTTATTAGTAGATAATGTATTTATATTTTCTGTGATACGTTAAATTTTCTTTTTTATATAACCGACTTTTTATATTGAAATTTTCGACTGTATATACAAAATATAATACTCATTTCATGAAGTATATTTGCCAAGCAAATGTTTTGTCCATTAGATTTAATCAATTTGTCAATTAAAGTTGCAATCATTAACTTGACGAAGTTGAATGATTGCTCCTTGTTGATTTGAGTAGGTATCAATTATTACTGAAGTTGTACTCTCATATATATTATTAAAAAATTAAAAACCTGTAAAAATTGAAAATTGTCAAATAAACATTTTTAATTTTCCAAATGAGCATTTTTTAACATAAGCGATATGATCAATTATACCACAAATAATGAAGTATTTTGTCGTATTCTATTTTGAAATATATGCTTAGTGCGGGTAAATTTGTAGTTTTGAAAATAAAAATTGACATACTAAATTGTTAATTAGATACTTAGTTCAGTAAATGAAGTACATTCTTGTTTTTGAATCAAGCAGGGATGAAAAATTCGGTTGTATCACTCCACACGTAATGGTAAAAATAATGATAATAAACCGCATAGAAATTTTCTGGCGTACGGACAATTGTGCACGGTTTTATCATGCACAAAAATTATAGTAATAACATAGTGTAAGAATGTTGATACACGCTGATTTGTACCATGTTATTGCGTATAATAATACCGTGCATAATTGTCCGCATGTTAATTTTTTTTTTACAAAACCTGTAATGTGGTGCATTACAAGGCTTTGTCTGAGCGTGTTCCTCTATTTGCAACACTTCAGAGGAGCCATCCCCATCCCTTGCCACTTGTAACCTACCGAATAATAATCTGACAAATAATTAAAACAAATTAAATTCATGATTGATGAAATTTGAACCTCTGACAAAACTTGCCGGTGACGTCACGACCAATAAGCGAATTAGAATAAAATTTGATTTCCGTCTGCAATCTTTCTTATCAATCAATGCTGGCCGACTTACTGGGGGCTGAGAGAGGGTAAATAACGACGAAGTAGGAGATAAAATGAGGGCGCTGTTACTTTTCTAATTTGCATATTGACCAATGACGAAATATTCGGAGGGCGCTACCGATATTCGAATTAGCATATGGGCTAATAATATGATTTCTTCTCGGAAAAAGGAGAAGTAAAAGAATCTTTGACCGCGAAGATCGGTTTCTCGTCCATTTTGCCGCTGATTGCTATAACGCTGTTAGAAGCAATTCTCGGATTAGCTGAGGCCATTAAAGGACTTTGATGAGGATTCTTTTTTTTCCTTACTGGTTCCGAGCGTCAGGTGACCTACGCGCTAGATCGAACGAATCTCCGACCAGAAACGAGGAGTTGTATCCTGAGCTGCCGGCACTTTTAGGACGCGAGAGGACGGAGAAGATTAACGATTGGTTGGTACCATCGGCCTGAGGAAAGGATATTGCCGAGGATGTCACCAACCTCGGCCAACTCTGCACAGTCGCACAGTGGGCAAATAGACCTACGCTGCGATTTTCCGACCCTATCCCCGACGATTGCCGTAAATTAGGCGGTCTGGCGCCCTTATTATTAGCCGAGGGGAAAACGGTCCAATCAGGCCTTGGGGCGAAAGTACTTTGAGTACGCGGCTGAGACTCCCCCAAATTTCCCGCCATAAACCTATATATATATACACAAGTGATACTTCTCATGTATGAAAAATGTCTTATAATGAGAGGATTAAAGAGTAGAAAAAAGGTCCGAAAAATTGCTATGACTTGCGTTCCAATATTTTATTTATCTATTTTATATTTAAAATTTGTAAACAGATACAATATATATTATAATAGTTTCTATAACAGTATGTTCTATAACAGTGATGAATTTCTAGCAATAAATATGCTAACTGTTCCGTTAGAATTGCGTGAATGTTAAGTTTTGAATGAAAACTCGTCCTAGAAGATTTTGCGAGTCTTATTGATCCCAATTGACTGAAATTCGTCACAACTTTGAAATTGTAAGAACAGGTAGAAAGTGGAAACTCGAAAGAAAACAAGGCAGACATCCGCTTGACGCCAACAGTTTGCGGGTGCAGCATGGAATTAAGCTATATATGCACGAGATTTCGATTTCCCTGTATTTTAAAAGATTTCTTCTTGAGCTACTCGCTTATTTTATACTTATTCATGGCGAATATTCAGCTGCAACGAAACCACGATCAAACTGACAGCTAGAACAATAACTGAGGAATATCCTTAAAGGTACATTTTGACATAAGCCATTAGTACCAATGCCTACTAAACTCATTGCCAATTAATGATATAAATAATTAATTATCCGACTATTGATATAGGCATTTATAATTATGGACACATTCGCAGTCACTTTTTGTCTACTCGGCTTATTCACACGGTTCACTGTACGATGTTAATGTCGAAGCCTAAGCCACGTTTTGATGATTGGTAAACTATACACTTTTGAATAGCAAACACTATATAAAATTCTTTGACACTTTAAAAAAAAAAAAGAAACGCAAAAGTTATGAAGCAACGTGAAAGTCAGATTGACGGTCGCATCATGCGCAGTAGTAGTTTTCAATTTTTTTCGATTCGATTTCTTCCTATTTAATGCCTTTTTTTTATCGAAGCCCATATCAAAACTTTTGTAGCGATAATCTTACGACTACGCCTACTACTTAGAACACAGATTTCAAGAATATCTGAGGCGACACATGCGATTAGATTGCGACCGCGCAACGTAATATTATATACGATTATTATTTATTAATTATTATTGATCGAGGAAACAGTCAAAGTCGCAAGGAGCTATATCGGGACTGTATGGAAGCTGGCGGAGCTGCGCAACACTGGTTTGATGCATGAGTTGGAACATTACTATTACGTACGCAATCGAACAAAATATCGTACATTTTTATATTTTGACAAGACGATTTGCAAATAATAAGTTTCCAAGCAAAAAATTAGCGCTGCACTCCTTTTGACTTATAGCTTATTCGATGAGCGCACGCTATGGTCGTGGAATAAAAAAATTATCAAAATGATTAATGTGGGACCGATAAGGTAGAAGGAAGGAACAACTGACATACAAGTTACAAGTTAACGAAATGAACTAAGAACGACCGAACGCAGCCATAGTCACAAAAGGACGCAACTATGCGTAGCCATACAGTCAGGTCTCTAAGACTAACGCTACGGGTCCTGTCTGGCCTGCTCTCTCTTTTGGTCGACGAGTCGCTGCCCGAAGCGGCGTTCCACGCTTTCCTTCTCGCTTTCTCTCAACCCTTCCACGTTAATTAATTCATAAACCTTGGACGAGTGAGCTATTATTTTTTATATTATCACGAATAGAATTTTTCACGTGATTATGTGTAGTTCAGGTTTATTTCTTTGTGATTCAAGCTTTATTCGATTTCTTTTATCATAAGCTTTGCAAGAGAAGAACAAAAAAAATAAATATTAGTAATATTTATGTAGAAAGGGGTTTAGGTATAGCGTGCAATCGGTTGTCGGTATGACGGTTAGATAAAGAGAGTGTAGCGCGGAAAACTGTAGCGTTTTAGTCGAAAGCATGGGAAGCTAGAGTGGAGAAACGTGGTTCTTTGGCCCTCAGCATCTCAGTCTTGAGTGAGATCCAGCTACGTAACGATCCTTCACTGTAACCGCGATTAGTTCATTAAAGTTTTTAATTTACACGTTGTCAGATAACAGTAGTTTTTCGTGTTTGTAATTAATTAAATCAGAATACACGTTAATTGCCATTCGCAATTACTCTCACGAATAATATCTCACGTTTGTTTGTTTTAAAATGGTGTCTAGGAGGGTAGCGTATCGTAAAATGAATGAGGATTTTACATGGGTCGGTGAACTAGACGGATGCATTCCAGTGCATGTGGCTATAATTTTTTATATTTTACACGTTATAAACATATATCTTGCGTTTCGAATGCGTTTTCCATAATTTGGTAACAATCTTACTTTCGCATTTTGCCACAGCCAGTTAATGTACATAGGTACTGTGGATAAGCGATAAGCAGATGTTGACGAGCACTATAATTAATTAATCTTAAGTAATTTTTATCTATTTTTGTTTAAATTAAGTCTTAATGATACTTTTTTAATCGTGGGTGGGTGGTTGGACACCCACTCACCTGTAATCTAATACTATCGTCTGAGACTTATTTATGATAAATATACCTCTTATATGGAGACTATGTGCAAAGTGACCGAATCTGAAATAATTAAAAAATGTATTTACAATTTCCGTTATAACTGTACTTGGTGTAGATAATACCACTGTTGAAGCAATCAATACACGAAATTTCATTCAAGATATTTTACAAGTATCATTTTTATGCGATTTTTTTCGTAAAGTTACATTTAGGCTTAGATATTAAACTCATTTTCAAATCGATAGCAGTAATTATAAAACATACAGAGATATGAACTATGTTGAATGCGGAAGAAACGTTTAAATAAAATATTTTTCTTTAAATTTTGATTATTATCACCTATAGTATAAAAACGTGACTTTATTTGTGGAAATAATGTACACACGTATGTATGTACTCACACACACACACACACACACACACACACACACACACACACACACACACACACACACACACACACACACACACACACACACACACACACACACACACACACACACGCTCACACACACAAGCACTCTGGTGGAGGATTATCAAACTATATTGTAACAATTTTTTTTATGCACAATGTCATTGCGTAGCTGCTGTTGACGTTAGCCTTTACGTATATTAATAATGCAAGAGAGAAACTAGTTTTGATAAATATGCTGCGTCTACTTAATTATATTACAAAGTCAAGTTAAAAATAAAGTGAAGATTGTATACAGTCTGTAATAAGAATTTTTGTCACGCATCGCCAACGATTTCCAGTATAAGAATTGTAAACACTGATGAAGCAGAACGGTGCTGATTTTTAAAAAATGATTCGTCAGTGTTCAAACTACAGTATACTTCTTATTTAATCGTCAATGCAAGTTTGAAGGTATACGTGATTAACAACTGGTTGCTATTATTGAATGTCTTAAATTAACCAACGTATTTCATTTAGGCAACGACATTTGTCATGTAACATTTTGCACGAGCAAAGTCATAACCTCCTAGCAGTGTTTCATCCGAGCTTTTTATTTGTTTTATGGTTCAATGACTGTGACAGTTGCTTGGAATTGAATATTTTACGGAATGTCTAACAACATGAACAATAATCCATTTGCTGCTTTATTTGCGCCTATCAACGAAGCAGCAGCATTATCGTCTCAAAAAGAAGTAACTTTCAACAAACCACATGAACATACAAACAGTGAAAAAGAACCTTGTAAGAGGTCACAAACAGAAGAGTTACTATCCAATGCGGAAACTGCCGAAAAAGATGAATTACTGGATGAATTGATTGCTGATGTGTTTGGAATTACGCTTTACCATGAAAAAAAGAAAAAACCTACACGACAATTAGTTTTTATCAATACCGATTCTGTTGAGCATGCAATATTTGAGAGACTACTACTGTCAGAGCCAGAATCTTCTTTAATAGCAAAAGAAAGTACCAAAGGTCAAGATTTAGATAGTCATGTTGTTCAAACTGAAATTATACCTTACTTATTTGAAAGCTACTGCCGTCTACAAAGATATAGGATTAGTGATGGTGCATATGATACTGTAGAAAATATTAGAAAAATTATTATGCGTGATACGAGCACTGCCTTACAGGAACCTGATGTTTTTGTTGGACAAGAGGTTAGTGTAGCACAAGATTTTTTTAATTAAATGACATATTTATATATTTAATAGTGATATAATCATCTTTTTAGAATATAGAATTCAATACTGTAATTTTTGTCCTTCATTTTTAGATTCATGCACAATTTTTAACATTATTCATCAATGGAGGAATTGTTGGTACTGAATTATCGTCTTTCATGGGAGGCATAGTTGAACACATATGTGCAGAAAATAAGGGATCTGAATCAGAAACAATCAATTCTGCTTTTAGTCCTCTGTTAGATATTATACACAAAGAAACAACTAATGGCAATCTTCTTGTTTGCAAACAATATTGGTTTGGTATTTTACAAATATTTGCCTCTTTAGAACCTTTGGCAAAGCTCATTATTGCTCATAGTACTGTTAGAAACAATATTGGGAAAGCTTATGCAGATACATTATTAGGATCATTATTGAGTCTTAGTTCTCTTCCTAAGACACCTTCAGCACCATTTGATTTTTTTGATAAGCCATTTCAACAGGTATTATATTAAGTAGTGCTAAATCGTATCAATAAATTTGTTTATTAATACATTTTTTTCAAATTTTAGCAAAATTCAATAGTCGATGGAATTATATGGTCTGGATTGGATAGTCTAAGTGAATCAATGCATAAAGTTTTTCACACTTTACTCAAAGTTTCTCGAGAGGTGCGACACTTAACTTTATCGTGGTTAGGAGATTGTTTACACGCTAACGCAAATCGTGGAAAATTTTGGAATTTCCATAATAATATGGATTTATCCATAACAACAGTTTCTGATGGATTTATGCTTAACTTAGGTAACGTTTTGTTACGACTTTGTCAACCGTTTTGTTCAAAACCGGATGATACAAAAATCTTGAAAATCGACCCCACATATTGTGCTGCTGAGGTAAATCATTATACTAACACTATGCTCTAAACTTCCAATACTGTAAGTTTTAAAAATTATAATATTTTATTTACATTAGGCTAAAGATAATGCTCAAGCTCGCGAAAAAGGCATCCATATGAAAGGAATGCATACAGAAACATGTTTGATTCCAACGTCAGAAGGAGAAACTCGCCCAGTTGCTATATCATTTAGTTTTGTCACAGAGTGCTTTTTTTTAACGCATCGTGCTCTCGATCTTGGATATCGTGTGATTTTAGAAAAACTATTTAAGTAATAATTGTGTATTATTTTAATATAAAGTAGTTTGAAAACAATTATTTAATGATCGACTAATTTTTCAGAATAAGTCAAGATTTAGCAAGAACTCAAAGATTGTATAATGAAACTAGAGTAAATGCTAATTCTGAAGTCAATGAATTTATATCGCAGCGATTACAGAGTGAGATGACGAAGTCAGTTTTCTTCTGTTACATCTTGCGTGGCACCGTATTAGATTATTTGAATTTTATGAAATCAATTAAATGACTTATTTTTATTCGACAGGTATTTAACTTATAGAGCAAGTTTACTAAGTCCGGAATCGTTAAGTCTACTAGCAAAATTTCATGCAGCTACTGCTTTTTGGTTAATGCAAGTCAATGTAGATATAAGACAACATGAATTAAATCAAGATATTTACGCTCCTAATGAATATAGATCCATTACATTCCCTTTACCAAAAAAAGTTCCTGAAATGCTAAGGTGAATTTGAAAGTTATTCTAACGTGTTTATGATTATATCATTAATTTTTCGATAGTCTGTGTGTAGTGTGACTTTTCCGCATGTTCGGTTAAAAATTTACGTTCAAAATCGAGCTTTGCACACGTATAAAAAAATATCGTATGATAGATGTTCGGGTAATAGATTCTCATCTCGTGTAATTCTTCACCCTCGTTTCTCTCGAACTTAATCTCCACGCAAGATTAGAATCCACTTCCGCGCATTTGTATCGTAATATACTTTTGACGGGAACTCATTTCTACATAAATTGTGCAGATGTGTTCCTGAATTTGTAGTTGATAATACTATTAGCTTTTTATGCTGTCTTCGACGTTGGAGTTCTAATGTGTTTGAAGAACAAGGCCCAGGTTTTTTGAATCCTATTCTAACAGAGGTAAAGTAAAAATTTATATTTAAAGACGGATGTTTTTTCTATCGATAATTAAATAATTTTGTATTTAAGGTGGTTGCCCTGATGGATTCTCCTTGTCGACTTTACAATCCGCATTTACGAGCTCGTTTGGCAGAAGGACTTGAAGCTCTTTTACCAAACAATGATGAAATACATCATCAATCTACACCTACTCTTGGAACATTCCACAGGCAACAACTTTTTATCACGCATCCACATAAACAAATGGTTTGTAAGATTTTTTCTTAAATAATCGTTATTAATTTACTGAACTTTTTAATGCTTTTAGATCGTGCCAAATTTATTACATGTATTTGTGAGTATTGAAATGACTGGTCAAAATGTTGAATTTGAACAAAAATTCAACTACCGCAGACCAATGTACATAGTTATGACCTACTTGTGGAAAATATCAGAGCATAGACATATTTTTAAGTAATCATATTTTTTGATAAATATTATTGTAAAATCATTTGCAATAAACTGAAAATGGATATGGATTTTGCAGGCAATTAGCTCAAGACGCAGAAGCAAACATGGAAGCAGTACAACCACCCCTTTTTTTAAGATTTATTAATCTATTGATGAATGATGCTGTGTTTTTACTTGATGATGCACTATCAAACATAGCACAACTTAGACAAATGATCAATGCAAGGTTAGTAATCAATTATGCATTAAAATAAATCCCAATCATCGTCTTTTTTCTAAATTTGCAGGGATAGTGGAGAATGGAATAAACTTTCTCAACAAGAAAGAGAACAGCAAACTTACTCTTTAGAGCACATTGGCATGATAGCTAGATTCGATAATATATTAGGCAGAGAAACAATCCAAACTTTGAAAACATTGACATCTGAAATTAAGTCGATATTCTGCCATCCAACAATGGTAGATCGCATAGCTTCGATGTTAAATTATTTACTTTTACACTTGGTTGGTCCTAACAAGAAAAATTTGAAGGTGAAAATCCAAATAACTTTTTAGATCACAATGCCGTAAACAAAATTACTAAAATAAATATTAAATAAATTTTGCAGATCAAAGGACAAAAAGAATATGACTTTGATCCGGCCAATCTAGTTCTTAATATTTGTCAAATATATATTAATTTGAGTCAGAGCGATACTTTCACTTTAGCTGTATCACATGATGGAAGGTCCTATAGTTCTCAATTATTCAAATTAGCTGACGATGTCTTGGGTAAAAATTTGTTTTCTTTTTATACAAACACATGGACAACATTTGATAAGTTTTAATGTTTTCAGTGCGCATTGGCGGAGGAAACATTTTAGGCGACCTCGATGAATTTGCAAAGAAAGTAGAACAAGCAGCTATGCAGAAGAAAGAAGAAGAGGAAATTCTAATTGACGCACCTGATGATTTCCTCGATCCTATTATGTCAACGGTAATGTCAGATCCTGTGATACTACCATCGTCCAGAACTGTTGTTGACCGACAAACAATAGCGAGGTAATTGTTAGATTCAGTCACTTGATTTAATCGAACTGAATGAGCCAATCTATATTGTACATTTGAAAAATTACAGACATTTATTAAGTGATCAGACTGATCCCTTTAATCGGTCTCCGTTAACAATGGACATGGTGAAGCCGGATGTTGATCTTAAAAATAGAATACGAGAATGGATAGAGCATAAGAAGAAGGAGCGGGAAACTAGGACCAGTGATAGTCAATAGTGTCCAACATTGTGGGATTTGAATTGTATAAGGTGAATTATTGCCATATTTTTATCAACAAAATTGTATTTAAGCTGAAAAAAAATTATAATTTACACATAAAAATCTTTCAAATGTGCATGTCACTTGTAAAAAAGAGATGTAACGATCGACATTACAACTTGTACATTGCATCAGTGCAGTCGCGTGAATATAAAATAAATAAGAGGTTACTTTGTTAAGTGAACGGTTTTGTTTTTTTGTTAAATAAAATAATGCAAATATCATAAGTGTATATTTTATGTAACTTTTGTAAAAAAGAATGAAATTAATTAGTTTATTGCGTACGGTATTTTTGATATAACTATCGTTAAAACTTCGAACTTCACCGACATTGCTACAGTAACGTACGGATGCTTTTACTTGAGCGCGCATCCTATGCAATAAAAATTGTTCACTATATTTCAAAAATACTGTCAGTAATATTTACACTTCTGTACACAAAAAACCGTGTAAAAATAGTTTCATATTCCATATAAAAAAATATCTATGAATATTTTTCTCTCTGGATTTGATAAAACACGCACTCATACCCTTAAACAAAATTTACACATTTCTTCTTTTCTCTTTTTGCATGCACTATATAATCGCTCTTTCCTCATAAGGCCGTTTCGAGATCTTTGAAGTCCGTGATAAACCACGGCGCGTGTGCTTTCACGCTCTCTCGGATAATGTTGCCTCCGTATCCTGTAATAAAAAAAAATCACGCATCATTATGATTCGGTTGCGAAACTTCTACTTTATTCATATCAAAGTTAGATCAAAATTTTTTTCGTAAGCGTACCGATAAAAGCATTCGCCGGAGGGCAAGCTTCCAGATCTGTTGCGCCGTCGCCGATATGTACGACGGTTTTAAGGCCTTTTTGTTCCTTCAATCGCCGAATCACTTCAGCTTTACCGCCAGTCTGAGATGTTGGCTCGTTTTCATCGAAGCCAGCGTATTCTCCTATCAAATGTTAACAATCCTGAGCAAAGTTACGAGATATTTACGCGTTTGCAAAGAATAAGAATGAAGAACATACCATTGAAAAAGAATTTAAGTCTGTTAGCCCTAATGTTCTCTTGTGGTATATTCAGCTGTGCAGCCACAGGTGAAATGAGGCAGTGGAAACCACCAGATACAAGAAACACTTGTTTCTTCTGATCTTGTAATGTTTGTATCAACGATCTGAAATTAAGAAAAAATTAATAAGGAGATGCATCATATGTTGAAATTGAAATTTTGCTTTTCAATTGGAAAAAAAATTCGGTCTTCAGCTGCTATTTGAATAGTCAGTAGCGCAAATTAAATTCAGTTAAGAGTGTAACGAATGGAGAAGTCAATGACTAAAGACAATGACATTTACCGTTTGTTAACTGAATTTTTAATAGCTTACTTAATGCCGGGCGTTAACTTTGGTGGGTGTGTGCGCAGGAATTCTTTGATCTGTGCAAGGCTTGGTTTGATTATATTTAGCCTTACAGCCAATGACTGTTGAAATGTCATATTTCCTTGCATCGCCTGTCTCGTTCTGAAAAAAAAAAATCAAGCCACATGTTACTCAAGCATTGCATATATTTCAATTCACGTGAATGTAAGTTTCGATCAAGTGTGTATAATTAGACAGCACAGACAGAAAAACCGTACAAAGTTCAAAGAAGTCGGCAGTTCATTCGCTTTAAGTCGAGCAATTCACCGTGAAATCAAAGCACAAATAAAGCACCGATTAGATTTATGCTATGCATGAATCTTCGTTGCTTAATAAGAAAAAGGAAAACAAATGTCCGTGAAAGCATTCACACGTAAACATCATCGTTGCACACATGTGGAGTTTGTTGACCTACTCGATATTAAAAGCGCGCACGTCGTACGAGCCTCCTGTAAGCGCGTTTCCTCTCTATCTCGATTTCTTTTTCACCAGCTGGCTTTTCTTGTTTGCTCTTCGTTTAAACTACAGCGGCTTGCGTCGTGTGCTTCATTTCGACGAGCAGCCTTCCGAGTACGCGTTGGCTTCGCAATGCGCGTATTTCGATCGATCGTTCTACGATTTGCCATCGTGCGCGCGCGATTATTGCCGCTATCGAGAAAGAAATAGGCAGGTGGAAAGTGCGCGAATGCCGATTTGCGGAGGCGTGCTTGTGCGCAGCATCGCTGGAATTTTACCGCGAGTACGGTCGCGCTACGTCAACCTTTCCTTCGGAGATTGAATGAAATAGCAAGTTGTCCGAAGGGCATTGAGCAGCCCCTGCCCTCCCGGCCCCGATTGTTCTCCAAGCTAACGAGCGATTTTTACGAAAGCACGTGAGACGCACAAAAACAACGGTGCTGCGTCGACCGTCTCCAATTGTTTCTGGCGTAGTTTCACGCCAACGCGCAGCATTACCCGACGGAAACTCGCGAATGCCACTCGGAACATTTATAAATGGACGATCCCCAGCAGCGTGAAGCAAAGTGGCGTGATCGAGCGGAGCGTTAAGCGTCTTTTGTCAGCCCCCACCCCATTTTTTTCGGGCACACGGATATACGGGTTTTTTCCATGTTTTCGGCAACTCTTTCCCGGCACATAAATCAAGGCTCGCCGGCTGGGGTCCCCCGCGTGCGGCGCGGAAAGATACGCTCGTCTCTCTCTCTCGCGCGCCTAGAAGATCGAGGCCTATCATCGAGGTAGATCCGGCTGATCGCGCGCGTGCATTCGCTCTCCGGCGAGTCATTGTAAATAAGCGTCAGCCAAGCCACGAGCACATAAATACGAATTACATCGTTATCAAAGCGCAAGGTCACCATGAAAAAATAAAGTCCTCTTGTTTCTTTTTTTTTCCTCTTCTTTTCGATCAATTGCTATTACGATCGGCTCTTCGGTCGTTCCGTTATATTATTACGCTCGTCATGTTCAATGTGCGCGAAACAAGGCTTCTACGAGAGGCTGATGAGCATTTGTATATAGCTGAACCAGCTGTAGACGATTTTACATTATTTTTCTGGCACGCTAGAGCTCCGTTCGAGAGTTTCCACGTTTATGAAAAGAGAGAGAGAGAGAGAGAGAGAATGGTCGTTGTAAATGTGAGCATCCGAACAAAAATTTCAGAGTCACCGAATAAGAGCGATCGCAAAGGATTCCATCGAATCGACAAGGAAAAGTTGAACTCACAGACTGGCAACTTGATCTCCCTTGCCGCAGAATTTGGCAAGCTCGTCAATGCCTTCCTCCTGTATGACGGTCGAGTCCACGTCGAAGCAAACAGCATCGGCGAGCCTCCAGACCATTTTCACTTCGTCAAGGTTCGCCATCCTGGAAGAGAAATGTACGTGGTCGAAGTTTGTTAGCGGTACGAGCTTGACTACTAGTATACCGAAACTGCCTTGATTGTTTTACGCCGCGAGAGAAAGACGCACGCGATGAGCGCGTTTGTGCAAGATTTACAAGTGGGGGAAAATACCCAATCATTTTCGATTGTTCTCGTTTCTTCTTCGTCCGCGTCAGTGTAAGCGACTTTTTGTTTTCTTCGCGTGGGGTTTATTTGAGAATGTGTCTCGTCTATCTGTTGTGATCAACGAGTTCCGAGTATTCGCTGGCGGATGATTGTTACAATTGATCGGGATGATATCACCTCCGATGAAGATTAATCGCGCGAGATAGTATTTTGATTGTTTTAAAGCTCCACGACTCCAAATTGCTTCCCGATGAAAGTAATGCAGATATGAGCAGATGGTTAAGTTGCCGTGAAAAACTTTGATTAACTTTGAACATTACTCCAACTACAATTTGGTATTTTTAAAAATACCTTGTCAAAAATATCACCCTTAATAACGTGTCGCAATTCACCAATACATTTTCGTCAAGGTCAACAACAATGCCCTTTGAATAACGCAAAAGAAGGAAAATCCTCTAAACACTAAATTCTTCAATTTTTTTTTATCGTGGAAGACATTTAATTAACGCTTAGTAGGTCACACACTGCACTCACATCAGTTCGCAGCAAGATAAGCCACTCCGATGACCTTGGGAGCGGTGAGTACCGTAATTTCATTGTCGCGCTTAACCTTCGAGTCGAATCATCTTGCAAGATCAATATTCGATATTGTTGCTCGTCTTCGCGACGAAGCGACAGCGAAAATATCCTAGGTATTTCCGGTCGATTAGATGAATGACATAGCCGGACGACTGAACATTACGCGAGCAGTATAAGCTTGCGAGCGGAGAGAACATGTTTCGGCGAGCAGTGCATAAGTGATAGGTGCAGCGAAGGTGGAAGGGGACACGGATCCAAGACTTGCCTTCATGGGAGAGCTGTTGTTTCGCAGTCGGATAATTGGCAGCCGAGCAGCTTCAACGCGCGCGTGTGCGTCAATTGCAGATACCGCGAATATTGCGGCGCTCGACGCAAAAAAGTTTTGCGCGAGAGCGACTTCGACCGGCCATGTGACGCGTCACGTGTATTCTCGTAACGCTCGATATACATGCTCGTATATACGTATACGCTGTATTATCGCGCGCATGCGACTTGTGAATTTTAATCGAGACGCGTGTGAGTTGTAAATGTACAGATCGATTTTATTTGTCGCGAAGAGACGAGAAAAAAAAATGACGAGTATACGGATAAAGCGTGCCGATATCGAAGTTGCGCGAGTTGCGCCTTTGATGTAAGCAGCGTGTTACGTTGAATTTACGACGGTGGCTAATTTTATCGCTGAGTACGTACGATTCCGTAAGTTTGTTGCGGCTGTAAGTCGAAACAAGTAGACAGCCAATCAGCAAGACTGAGAAACGTGATTGAAGATTAGTTTGAATTTATCATTTAAATATGCGTGAAATACAGCAATTACCACCGACACGCTTGGCGACGTGACGCTGCAATTGCACGAGAAAAATAACAACCGAATATAAGCAATTTGAAATGTTCGAAGCAGCTATTCGACATTACGATCAATGTGAACGCAGCACAATTCACTATGGTAACGATAAGCGCGTGTATCCCGAAGGCGGCGCGCGTTCGACTCATTTTATTGTTGCAAGTGCTCGCACACAGCGAGTCGAGTGATTAATTCGCTCCCAGGGGGGGTCATGCCCCCACGCTTTTCCCGTTCGTCGGTCGCGCGCTGCGACGGACGATGCACGCATACGCTCGGCCGGTGACGATAACGCCGACGTACACGTAAACTTTCGTAATTTTTCTCCGTTCACCCGTCATTCGGAAATTTTTCTCGCGCTCGAAAAGAGAGAGAGAGAGAGAGAGAGAGAGAGAGAGAGAGAGACGCGGATGATGATGGCATTGTCTGCGAATGACAGCGTTTGGGCATTATCGTCCGACAGTTGTGTTTACGTTAGTGTAATATGCCGAGACATACCTCTATTTCCTCTCTGAAGCTGGACGAATTATATGAAATTTAATTTATTTTTAAGGATCTATCTTTCGAAGCATTTTAGGGTACAATTATTCTACTGCACGCGATCGCGTGAGACGTGCAACTATATTACAATGATACGGAGACGAGAAAAATCGATCAATTACACGATACCCAAGGAAATCTTATTACAGTTTACGTAACAATTTATTTTCGAAAAGCATGTAACGCTTCGTGGAGATGAAAGATCCAGTATGTGGCGCGTAGGAGGAAATGCTTCGTTGATCGGTTCGCGATACTTTACTAAAATTAAGACTACTGGATAAGTTCTTGAATATCGTAAGAACTATTATTGTTTTCTTCGTCAATTTATTTGCATTCTGGGCGTATTTATAAGGGAGTACACGCTAATTCTTAATGCATTTTAAAGGATTCGTCTAGTTAGTAGTCTTTCTTTAAATGTTCTTAGTGAATTCGACTTTTTTGTTGACCCGTGTTAAAGCAATGCGGAATATCGAGAAAAGAAATAATAAAAAAAAGACAGAAAGCAATTTCAAATAACAAGGCAAAAAGTAGTTGGTCGGTAGACGAGGTAGTTGCGCTATATCTACAGTAGAACTACAAATATTGTAATACTTGCCTCGAGCATTCCCTCGTAAACTTTCCTTTCGTCATTTTCCTGGTAATTGCAAATGAACAGCTTCACAATGATTTGATCAGCGTCGTTTTGGCGTTGAAAATGGAGATATGTATACAGTTGCTACTATACTTGTATGTACCCCGGTAACGTGATTAACCGGTTTTTCACGGACAATTTTTTTGTCTACTACCAGAGAGCGAACCTGTCAAACCAAACGAGAAAATTGGTTAAGTGCATACTTCGCAATCATTTTCACGCAATGTTGAAGTTTCGTTGCTAAGGCGGCAACTTTTTAATTAAACACATTTTTACTTGCGATCGCTGCGCTACTTGACTGTCGGCGTGACTGTCGAACGGAACCGCAAGCGAAAGAAAACTTGTTGAAAACAAGCACAAGAGCCGATTAGAATGTTCACATGCCAGCTGCCGGGTAATCAAGCGAAATAACCTTTTATTACATCGAAACAACCGTGCGATCGATGTTTTTCTTGTTGCTCCTGTATTATCTCCCCTAGCAATTTACGATGCAATTGATGCAACCAAGAGTGTTAAAGCGGGTAGGGCCGACGCAGTATTGGTTTATTTCTGAATATAATTATTCATATCGCTTGATGAAATTAGAGCAGACGATTGCGAACACTGAATAACCGAAGTAAGTATTATACGATGTTGTATCGTGCGTTTCCATTTGAAGAACAACGTACAGCCTTGTAGACAGTAGACATAAAGCACGATGAGAAATGGCCAATGGTTCCATTAAATTAACGTGCACGTGCGTGCGTACGAATGGCTTGGGCTCGTCGAGTAAAAAACACAGTACGCGCTACGAAACACGTGTACCGATCGTGACAACCTGTTGCCTTTGAGCTCTACCTTTAGCACACTCACCTATATACGAAATACTTGCGTATCTCGACACCGCGTTCAACTGGGCACTGCACTTATCATCGTGTGGATCGACTGGCGAGTACGCTTGCGATAACGGCGAGGCTCACGAGAGGGACGCCAAAGAACTTCTGACTCGGCGAGCCGCTCGACAAGCGTAGTTATAAGTATTTTCAATCGTGCCACTCTCGGCTCCATATGGAGACCGTACTGTATTCTATCTCGCTCTCTTGCTCTCCCTCCCGCAGCCTCGCTGTCTATCGTGACGGTCCGTGACGTCGACGCGCGGCGCGTACATTTGAATTAGCGCGTGTACTGGCCAAGCAATCGCTTATCGATGCGCGCGCTTCGCCTGTTTTTCACGGACGCGCGCGCGCGCTCGCGTTATCTCCTCGATTCCCGACGGATATTTCATTGTTGAATAGTCGCGCGCTTTCGAAACACGCGATTGTGCTTATGCATACGTGTGTGCGTGTGCGCGCGCGCGCGCGTGTGTATGCGTGGCTGGCAGATTCACAGGGAATCGGTTCGCGTCGATGTGCCTTCGTAATAAAGCAGATTTTTCCATCACGCGATGCCTTTTGTTGATGATCTTTTGCCTTCTCCTTTACGCTTGCGATTAGGTTTTTTCAGCCGCTGTTACGTGTGCTGTGGCTTGTTTGTTGAAGGGATTTGGATTTTCGTGGCTTGCGTCAGAGCGATTCGACCAGATGGTTTGCTCTACGTCGGTAATAATGGAAGATCGGAATTGCCTGATAGAATCCGAAAAATCAAAATATTAGTTTGGAGGTTAATGCAAAAGTAAACAATCTATAGTCATTTTTCTTAAATATTATATTTTACATGATAGTACAATTCACTATCGTATAAATGAAAGAATAAGCTGGGAAAATTATCCGATTGATATAATTACTTAGACATACTTGTTCCACGCCGAATATTTTGACCTATATTTCAATTAATTACGATGCCGTCTAATATTGAAAACGTAAATGTATTATTAAGGTGTATTCATATTTTTATATTTCCCATTTTCGTGAAATATAGTTAAATATAATCTTACAGGTAAGTGTAAGATCGAACCCTAAGTGTACCGTTCACTCAGAAATTGCCTTTTTATCGTGTTTGCATTATTTTTCGTCGGCTTTAATCTGTGAAAGTTATCAAACAATCCACCCTCTTCAATGCCAATCAGCATCGATTGGCCTTACATATATTTAAGCTTCGAGGGAGGTCTGATAATAAAAAAGACAAAGTATTATACTTATTGGATAAACATTCGTGTAAATATAAAAATCCGCATGATTATTAAAACTATAACCTTATCTGCATCCATACGCTCGGTAAATAATACTACTTTTACTGTTGAACCCTGAAATGTAATAATTTATTTCGAGTTCATGATTTAGTAACTTAGCGAACGAAGGAGGCTGAAAAATCAATGAGGAGCTTGAGGGCATTTCAATTTTTCGCCAGTCGATGTGCAATAGCCGAACGATTGATTTTAGTTGGGATACTATCTTATATTGAGATCTTAACTTCTGTTATGTTAAATTTCTATTGAACTGTTAGCTCTAACTTGTCACTAATTAATTAGATTATTATATTGACTATCGAACAGTGCCCGTGCGTATTTATTGTCAACCTCGTCGACCTTATTGAAGAAAGTAGCAGTTAAGCGGTGAAACTACCCAAGGTTCAACAATCAGGTTGACCAAACCGTATCAAATAGATAAGTATGACGTTTGATTAAAGAATTAAATAATAAACGCGAGTCTCGACCGATAAGTTTAAGACTCAATAGTATGAAAAATTCTTTTTTTTTAATTCGTTCTTTGTAGATCAATCTACGATGACTTCAAATCAAAGATTTAAGGAAAATCCATTGTTCGTTGTACACAAATATATGTATTGTGATAGACTAGCTTATCTCTAATTCATGGTAATGATTTATTGTTAAGAATCTTAATTGCACACATATTTTTGAGAATATTATAATTGAGAACTAAAAACTAATATAATGCAAGCTTGGGAAACTATCGTTACATGTACATTGTAGCGGAATATATCTGAACTGATTTGGTTTTTCCAATAGCTTTAAACAAAAAAAATTTAGTAAATCGGTGAAGCAGAAATATTAACAATGCTGCAGCCAGTCAAATTTTTAGAATCTATAGCGCTTGTCAGTATTCAGCGATATGTTAACGATACTGAAAAAACTTAAATATACTTTGGAAAAGAAGGTCTAGTTTCAATTCCTAAAAAAATATATTCGGTAACTCGTTTTGTTTTCATTTGAAGGCATCAAAAGACTTCAAAGCTTTCTTTTATCAAATTCTTGAAATCTAACAGCAACAAATAATAGGTGAATGACTTTAAATTTATCTATTCAACAGTCATTTTCACTAATATTTAAATGATGTTTCATTTAAAAAGTATAATTGGAATTAATTATTGATATTGTATGTCAAGAAAGCCACAAATAACGATGGAATCATAATAAATAGATGCGGTGTAGTTCAATTGCGGTTTAAAGAATATTCATCATTAATCCTTTAATTGCAGTTATACCTTCCAACCGCATGAAAAATTAGATTAAATTAAAATTAAAAATATTTTGTCAGGACGTATAAATTAGTTTTGCTTTGATTTTGTCCCATAAAAATACTAGATACTGCAAACATGATTAGTATAATTGGAAAATACTTGAGAAAGCGTATCTTTTTTCTATTTGAAATTATCATACATACTGTCATGAGTTTCTAAGATTTTTTTGAACTTGGCACA